TACAAAACTGATTTAGGATTATCATCTCCAGTTTTCCATAAAAACAAGATCCAATTCCTCTCCGTGTCTGAATGTATATCCACAGCTTTAAAATGTGCTCTGCTAAAGTAACTTGAAATCACTTTGCTGACAGAGCAAAAAGAACAGCCAGAAAAAGTAAAAGCATAAATGTGTTACAAATAATACGGCAAGAGTTTAGCAAAGCTAAGTGTTATACCAGGCCAGTCTTTCAGAAAAACCACAAAAACTATGCTAAAGTCATTTTAAGGAACTGTTTTAAAACCACAAAAGAAAAAGATATTCAGAACTAAGGATGGATTGCTGTCTGTAACCTGACCAATGAGCTCAAGCAGAGCAGGGAGTCAAACATGGGTAGGAGGGAATGATTATACTATCCCAACCTGTCTGTAATCCTTAAAATACAAACATAAATTATTGATACACTTTTAAAAAGTAGTAACGGTTGTGAATTCCATGTCTTTGCCCAGGTTTGAAGTTGAGAAGCAACACAATTCTGACATTTTGATAAGATTTATCACTATGAGACTGAAATTCACCTGAAGCCTATGGTTCACTTGGGATTTACTAACACAGGAAATCGCTGTTATCTTGGCAAACATAACAACAAGACCCATGCTTTCATAAAAGACTTGATTGAACTGCCTTTTGCTTTCCTTTGAATTTCCTGAACACTTAAATCAAAATTTTGCACATTGCCCAGCTCACCAAGCTAATACAATCAGCACATACCATTTTCTTTTTTATTGCCATACCTCAGTAAATCAGAAAATAAGGTACAGTAGACACACAGGTAACTGGAGTTCAAGCATGCAGAAGTCTCAAGCAAAAATAATATCAAAGAAATAGTATGATTACTTGTTGTGGTTCCCAGATAGCCAATAGTACCATACTCCAAGTGACTGACCACTTTATCATGTTTTGGGATACTCATACTTTAAATCAAATTCAAAACAAAACCATTTATTTATAATACAGTGAAGTTATTTTTCTAATACAGTAAAACTGTATTACATTAAGTTTGTCTTTATTTGCTTTTAATTATTGTATTTCAATATTAATATCAAATCAATACAGACTCTATAAACTAGCTGACATTGCCCCCCTCCCCACCCGATGTGTGATGGGAAGTCGCTGCCAACTGTGAGAGAATAAGGTTGAACATTGTGAAAACCACCAACTGCATGGCTATCAACCTCCTTCCAGTAGACTGAAATCAAGGAAGTTTCATGTGAACCACCTGAACACTTAATGTTCTCACAGCAACAGCAGGAGTATCCTTCTGGGCAGCTAAACTAGGAAATCCCAACTGGATGGCCCCCCACGAAAGTATGCCTTCAGGGGCAAACCAATAATGGGCAAGTCAGGAATCCCTGAACAGACTCAGAAGTAGAGTTGGCAAATCAAAAGACAACCTGGCTAAATGGCACTACCTAAAAAAATCCTTCACCTTGTGTGAATGTGGAGCAGAACAAACTACTCAGCATCTGTATGCCTGCCCACAATGTCCTGCCTCATGCACAGAGGAAGAACTGTTTAAAGCTACAGACAATGCAGTCACTGTTGCCTGTTTTAGGTCAAAAACTATTTAGCCGCTTGTGTTCCCTCTATTTCATCAGTTTTATACTAATTTATTTATGCAATGCTTTTGACAGGTAATAAAGAAAATACAGAACTTATCGTATAGTATAATACAGGGTATAGTATCAGCTAGGATATTGTAATAGTAATTCTCTAAGCAGCCAGAAACAGGATTTATCTGGCACCTACCAATCCCCACAGGAGCCAGTTAACCAAGTGTACTGTACAATGTTTAAAGAAAACGTGGTGCTGCTAGGATTAAAAGCCAGAACTGGTATACAGTGCTATGTAGCCCACTTATCCATGTCAAGACTATGAAGAGAGCAGCTGAGAATGGTGAAAGCAGCAGCCAAGAGCCAACATTAAGGCAGACTTGATCATGCTGGCTTTCAAAGGGGCCAGTACTGGTCGCTGATACATCCTTCATTGAGTTTTTTTTAAAAAAAGAAACATTGTATAGTCAGACAGCTATAAAGATAGTCAAATCATTTTATAGTTTTTACTTTAAAATGTGCTGTTATTTGCTATAACAAAATGGCCCAGTAAATTGTTTGCTTCCCAAATAAATTTGTTTAGAAACAAACTCTATTCTATTCCTTTGGTGACAGGGTGCTAAGGTTTAAGTAGGTTTAGAAGTTGCATATTCTCTCAAAATTTTCTATTTTTCTTATCAGGGTTGGTAAAATGTTTTGTTGCCTTTTATTTATTTATTTATTTATTTCTCTCAGCCCAAGGGCGACTTGGAGCAGTTAACAATAGGCAACAATTTGATGCCGGTGCAGTTAAAACAAATTAAAACAATCATAAATACTTTAAAATATGAACAGAAATACAAAAATATAAAAATCATACATAGCATTTAAAAACACTGGGCCTTTTGTCCCATTTATCACATCACAAATAAAGATGCAGTCATGAAGCATGGGTGCAGGGCAAATAAGAAAAGTTCACAAATGTGCTTCACAAATGAACACGCACATTGCCATCTGCAGGATGTCAGTTTTTTCTTTTACCCAGACACACACACACACACACACACACACACACACAAACACTATTTGGTTGGAGCAGATAAATTAATGTGGCCTTCTTCAGTTGCCCACCTCTGATGCACACAAATGAGTGTCATTTTGCTAGGAAGTTTGCATACATATGTCATGAAAAGAAGATAGAATCATAAAACTTCATAGGAATGCTGCTGGGTTCTTAGCTATATAAAACACATATTCTGAACTGGCACTATAATGAAAGGTTGAAAAGAACAACCATCTGAAATTCGTGAAGATGGATGCTTCTCACCAACATTTCACCATAGGAAAAGTAAGGTGTGGTTTTGCAATGTACCTTCGCAAAGCCATACCAGTCACACTGTTTTACGCTTGCAAATTGTAATGCATAGCACTAATATAACAGGGTTAGTGGTCTAATGGAAGATCTGTGAAAAGCTACTATTTGGATTTATTCCCTGCCATGTGACAGATTATGTAACTTTTTAATGGTGTTTGTTCTGCTGAAATTCTATCTATAGCAAACATCTAAGAGACCGATCTAGTTTCATGACATTAATATAAAAATAGTCCAAAGTAATAGCTTTGAAAATATATTTAAATTTTTGATTTATGGATTAGCAAAAAATATCGGAAACCACAAAAAGTGTTTTGCACTCCTGATATGTAGAATGTGTAATTTATTTAGACTAAATTTAGGGATTACTTTCCCCTTTCTGATTACGACATAACAAACTTTAGCCAAAAGTGAATGTTTTATGGAATTGCATAAATACTAAAAGAGCATCCAAATTAAATGGAACTGCTGACAGATTACTTTTTGTAATAATTATGTTATTTTAGCTCTAATTATGGCAATCCAACATCATAAAATATTTTAACTAAACTCTGACCTAAGTATGAATGCTTGGAAATATGCTTAATTGAAACTGATCGAGTTTACGATCATAAAATACAATCAGGATTCAAGTAAATGTTCTCAATTTTCAACATACTGAGTATGACACATTGTTAGCCACCATCTAACATCCCAAAGAGCTAATGATAATGAACTAGAATAAAAAAATAAAAAATTATCTTAAGGTTGGGAGCTGGGGTAATGGTAAAGCAGACTAAAAAAGGCAATGCATGTTCCAAGATCACAGATGCAGACTGTTTGTGGGAAAATGTCAAGGAAGTTGAGATTAAACTTAAAGGAAGGTTTGACCAGCTCACTGAAAACCTGAGCAGGAATACTCCATTCTGCAATGTTTTCATGCAGGTATTTCCTTTCTCATATAGAATTTGTAATTTATTGTCAGTTCTCCAACGTACAATAGTCTTCCAATGCTGACGTTTATATTGAACAATCATATTATGACTCTCTTTGATAAAATGCATCAGCTTAAGAACTTCACAATAGATCCAAGATTATGCAAACTGAGAAGCAATGCCTAAACAAGGGATGAACAAAGTGTAACCCATAAGCTTCATGAAGCTCATAATCATTTTGTGGTCCCAGACTCCTTACCCTCACTTCAAACAGGAATGTTAACCCCTAACTAATCAACAGTATATCTCAAACCTATGGAGGCAAGCCTGATTAGATTTTGGGGTTTCTTGTCCTTTTAAAGGTCTTTAGCGGTCTTCTTTCAGGCTTTCTTCAAATCAGAAAGGGATCAAATCTTCTGTTCTGGTCACATCTTATTCTGAAGCCAAATTCATATTGGCCAAAGGAAAGACTTTAGAAGCCTAGAAGAGACAAGTGCACCCCAAAACATGAAGTGGTCAATTGCTTGGAATATGGCACTATTGGCTATCTTGGAGTATGCTACTGTTGATTATGACAACAAAAAACCATTTAAATTTTGGGGAACAAGGGGCAACGGAGGGGTCATATGAGGCACAATGTTGCTCTTAATTATTAGCAATTGCCCAGTCCTGCTCCTATAAGTTTGTGTGTGTGTCTACATGAATGTAATTTCAAGTTGCCTATTTAAGGCAACCCTATTTCATAGAATTTTCTTAGACAGGGACTGTTCAAATGTAGTTTTGCCAGTTTCTTCTGAAATTTAGCTTACAACACTTAGTATTCATTGATACGCCCCCATCCAAATGGTAACTAGGGTTTACCCTACTTGGCTTCCAAGATCAGACAGGATCTGATGCTTTGAGGATATTAAGGAACTTCACCCTTACACCGTCAGTAAATCCAACATGTCATGTGTATAAACTTTTTATCTTCCCATAGGTAGAATCATTTTGAATAATTTCCTCCTTTCCACCCAGCAGAAATTTGAGATATAGCAATAACAAAAATAGTGTTTCTGATGTGTCTTCATGGTCATTTGCATTTATAAACTATTATATTATGTTAATATTAATTATAAGGTTCATTGAGGGTCTCGTGCCTACCTTATTTTGGCAAATCTGGTGAACCGATCTAGAATGAGCATCTGATATTAAGGCTGCACTGCAGCCAACGTTGAGGTCAAACACTTCTAGTGCTCGGTTGCTGCCTGCAGCCAGAACAATATCTGTTATCTCTGCGGGTTAAAGTTCTGTTAAACCATTTGTGGGATTACTAGTACAAAAATAAATATTTTCAAACTTCTTCATATTCGCACATTTTCTGACATGTAAAGAAACATAGGACATCAAACTAAACTGAAATGCATTCCTAATTCGTTTTAATCGACATGTTCTGATTAAACCATTAAGAGACAAGCACATTAATGCTGACCTGGAGTGTGGCCAGATGAGCAAAAGGATGAGCTGTCAAGCTTGTCAAAATATGACAAACTCTTTAATCTATGGTGCTCCTTCTTTTAACTTTAGCAACTAGAAAACAAACGTAAGTGTGGAGTGCCCTGGCTAGCCCTGTGCATGTACACGCTCAATAACTTAACAAATGTCTTGATTGAGATCATCAGACCCTTCTTGCATCAAGGTGGCCATGTACTCAATGACCATATGCTTGCATGGTGCTGGATGTGGCACGCCACATTGCCATCATTGTTCCCCAATGTCCGAACGTAATGTTAGAAAGATTCCAACACCATCCTTTCCAACAGAGTAATGGCCAGCATTCTTGTCTAGGAAGCTTCTCAGCTACACTACCAGTTCAATGTAACAGTTATGATATTTGTTTATTGGTTGATGATCTGCTCCCCCCTCCCAAAGTGGCTAACAACTTAAAAAGCATCACAGTTCAAAGCTTATAAAAAGCAAATGTTTAAATAGAAGCAAACTAATCCAATTATCAAAACAATTAAAATTAAAATACAATTGTCAAATAAATCAAAAAGTTGTTTAAAACCATTCAAGCAAAGCAGCACTCCTAGGGTGGATTCAGACAGACCTTTTTCCCAGGAGAATCTGAGGGTAGGTGTCCAGATGCTCTCGTAGGACTGGCCTGTGAAAACATCTGGAGGCCCTACCCTCTCCCCCGAAGTCAGCCCCCACACTCCTTTGAAAAGTAAAATAAACTTACCTGGCCTCCAGTAGACTCTTGGAGCAGCTATTTTCCTCCCTCCACCCCCCCCCCACCCCCCGCTCTCCTGGAGCATCATTTCTACGCATTGGGAGAGCTACTCCAAGAATGTACTGGAGGCTGGATAAGTTTATTTTACTTTTCAGAGGGATTTGGGGGCTTTGGGGGCTTTTTCCGGACTAAAATTGTGGGAATAGTGTCTGGACTACAGTCCAGACACCAGAAATAGTGGATTTATCCCGCGTCTTCCAAGAAGGCATGGAATAAATCCACTATCTAATTAATTCGCTACAAACCAGGGATTTCCTGGTTTGTAGTGAATTAATTCAGGACTGTTCAGGACATTGTCTGGACAGCCCCTTCTTTATTGTGGGAGTTGCCGCAATAAAGGTACTGTCTGGACGGGCTGATAGCCTGCTTCTGTTTTAATAAAATGTTAAAATGGAATGTTGGATACTTGCTGGTAATTGTCCATTATAAAGGGTTCAGGGATGGGTTTTTTTCCAACACAGAGCTCACAATTAGTAGATTTAAAAGACATAAAGATGTTGTGTTATCACAATTATGTTGTCAGTCACTAGTACTTTTGCAACACAAGCTGATTATTAAAGCTGGTGATGTGGATTATTGTTGTTGTCAAGTACCTAACAGCAATTTTAAAAAAAATCAAGTCTGTCTAACTGAAATGCTGAACACAAGAAATAAGTTGAAAGGATACAAGAATAGAATTCATTTACAGCCGAAAGACTGGAAATTTCCACTGTAGATGCCATGGGAAATTTTTGTATTGATTTGCAAATGCTCTTACTTTTGTACCTGAATAAAAAATATAAATGACACCAAATAATAATACAACACATTAATAATAGCCCGGACATTAGAGATAACTCTACAACAATATTCCAGAAAAGTTCTTGGTAAGAAGAGGGGGGAACGCTATGTTTGCAAAGGCATCCTTTAGCTGAATTCAAAATATAATTACACTCTTCCTTGAGAGTGTTTCTGCAAATTGCCATTGTAAGAAGGCAATGAATCAGGAGCTAAGAATTGTGACTACAGCATATCTTTTGATCCTTACAGTAGTCCTAATGTGATTCAGGGATTCTGATTGCAACAGTTCCCATTCTTTTCAATAAAACAAGGAGAAAGAGGGAAGAGAGGAGAAAAGGGAATATGGTAGCATCTTAAGACTAACTGGTTTTCATTTCAGCTTTTGTGGATATAAATCCACTTCTTCAGATGCAGTACAGAGTGACATTAAAGTCTGAAGTTTTGGAGCACATTTATAGATGTGGGAATGTGACATAATGTAACATGATGCAGAAAGATTCAAATCATGTCCCTTGCCCTAAATTTTCAAAGGGTTGGTTGAGGTGATTGAGGTCTTTCAGATCTTTATAGTGATCAGTTAGTGTGGATATGTAAAAGCAATAAATAAGCTTATCATAAGTTAATTAAAACTGCTCCCCATCAAACAATTTAGTGTATTGATTGAAATAAATAAGGTTGCACTTTTACACTATTTTTACATTGCTTATTTCTGATTGTGTTCTTCAGATGCAAACAGCATTTAAAGAATATTTGTATGTGTAAACTTTTAACAGCTATATCCAAAAGTATGATTTACCTTGTGCAAAGCTTCTCATTACAACTCATTACATCCCTATTCACCTTAGTTTGTACTACTTCATCTAACAATGATTGTACAACCACTAACAGAGGTTTTCAACTAACATTAATTTTGACATAAACTTTTGTTTTTACCTACCGTTTAAACTCATCTTTGGTAGTGTCCAGGTAGTACCTTAACAAATAAAACTCTGCTCCACAGGATAGCAGTATAAATGTATCTATGTAATAGAACTGGGCTGATCTGATTGGTTTATGAAAAAGTTCCTTTCCCTGGAATCAAATATATATAATTAACTCTGTATACTGTAAACAACTCAGATAAAAAATACAGAATTTTATCTACAGAATATTGCAGTCTTAATATAGTGGTCTTAACTCACTGTGTTTGTTTTGTTTTGGTTTTTTTTAATACATTTGTCAATGCTATTCTTCTTGATCCCTCTGATTACCAACTCATTAACCTTTGTGGTGGGCTAGGAAGTTTTCTTGCTAGATATCATTCTTTCCACAGCCTTCATTAGTTTCTGGTCTGTTACTGCCAAGTAGTATTCTTTTAGGGCGCTGAATAAGGTCCAGGTCTCTCTGCTTTGTTCATCCTTTATTACATACATTTCTGGTGTGAACTCATTCATCTGATAGCTTTTCAGATTAAATATACGCCAATAACGTCCAAATATAAACCAATAGCATCCAGATAGACCTATCACATTTCTTTACCACCCTCTACTCTCAGAATTCAAAATACATGTATACAATATTTAATGGGTACAATCTTTCTTTTCAAGTGCTCATTCAAAAAAAGTCAGGGATACATTAGGTGCTAAATGAAGATAATTTCCATCATTTAAATGTCTTCCAAATATAAATAACTAGAAAAAACTTCAGAGGTTAGTTTAAGACACGACTGTGCAAATTAGAATTAGAACTGATTGTAAGCTCATTTGTTATTGCTCTTTTATTATACTATTGAGGGTAAATTCTGATATGATTTCAATAAACATGGAATGAATGAGAGAGTCCCAAAGCTGAGAATTATTAATGAGAGACAACCGCCTAACCTAAACTTAGTTCTGTCTCACAACTGAAACTTAACTGAATTTACACAAGTTCGTTCTCTTTTTGGGCTAAGAAGCCTATCACATTTCCAATTATATAATTAGTCATACAAGTCACACAAGAATGCTAATCATAATGCTAGATATCTTGATAACATGAACTGACCGGTTTAAAGGGTATTTATTTATACTGTTTTTAGCGGGATAATAGCTTTTAATTTGTTTTTTTATTAATGTTTATACTATTGTGTTATTTCAACTGCATGAAGTGATAATTGTTTATTGTTGTTTATTGTTTATAGCTTATATTATTTCCTGTATCTGTTAGTTGTTGTAACCCATCACAAGTTCCCTTGGGGAGAGAGGGCAGGGTAAAAATAAAGATGATGATGATGATTATCATTATCATTATTATTAAGATGGAAACCTACTTGGAAGAGATCTTTTTGCAAAATACATCTTAGGCCTATAATAATAATAATAATAATAATAATAATAATAATAATAATAATAATAATACCCTGCCCCATCTCCCAACAAGGGACTCAGAGCAGCTTACAGTCATAAAACATAGTGGATAACATAAAACAAAATAGGTAACATATAAAATTTTAAAACAATCACAGACTTAACACAATACAACTGACGTATCAATAGCCAATTATTATATAAAACAATTTGAACAACATATAGGGTTCGAAGCATTGCACTAATAAAGATAAGCCACAGAATCAGTTTGGTGGTTTCTTAAGAATTCCTTCATTTCACCATTGTCAAAACTTCTCAGCCAAGTTTTCAACTCCTTCCTAAAGGACATGAGTGTGTGTGCTTGCCTAATCTCTCTGGGGAAGGCTTTCCAAAGCTGGGGAGTCACTACCGAGAAGGCCCTCCATGTCATCCCCACCTACTGCACTTGTGATATAGGCGGGGCAGTGAGGAAGGCCTCCCCATCAGATCTTAAGGCCCAAACATGTTCATAATGGAAGGTGCAAATAGACTGGACCTGAACTGTGTAGGGCTTTGTAGATAATAACCTGCACTTTGAACTGGCCCCAGAAGCATATAGGTAGCCAGTGAAGCTGCTATAATAGGGGGTGGTACGTTCCCTATAAGTCACTCCTGTTTGCAGCCTGGCTACAGATCTTTGTACTAATTGAAGCTTCCAAACCTGTGGACCTGTGTCCTCAGAGAGAGTATTACCCCATCAAGGCCTACAGCTTTGATGCTCTTCTATTGTCATCAAGAAGTACAGAAAACATGGGTGAGATATGGTCCAATGAGGCCTTTGTGAGCATAATAGAAATTCAACTAACAGAAACGGAAATTCCTCTTTCTCAGATGTTTTAAACCGAGGCTGGGTGGTCACTTGTGGGAAGTGTTTTCATTGTATGGTATGTGAGAGTGCCTCATTCTATGAAAATTCCATTCATGAACATTCAGCTACAAACCATTCATATATACATTTTCCATACTTCCATGTATCAGCTGACAGATAGTTCATTACAAATTATAAGCAGGAAAAATATTTATCATTCAACAAAATGAGCCAAGAAACTTGAAGAAATACATTTTCCATGTTTCACAGACAGTAGTAATCGAGGAAATCTGAAAAACATCTACCACAGTATATCTTCCCATATTGACCAAGATAAATTTGGAAAGGAAGACTGATACTGCAAAAGATGACAAGTAATAGTTCGATACCCTTAGAAGGATCATCAGGAAACATAGTCCTTTGGTATGTGGTCCATGCATGAAAATTTAATAACTACTTTAAAAGACAAGATAACTTCACAACACTGATGAAATTATATACTGCCTGTGAACTGGAAGCTGCATAAATCTGTATTAACATTTGAAAGCATAAAATAATCAATTTGCATCTTTAAGACCAACTAGTTTATACTAGCATGAATGAAGTTACTGCCACTGGATGTCTCTGAATATTTTTATACTGAAACTTCTCTTGGGTACTTGATAATTCCAGGGTCTTCTAATATAAAATTTTTCCACACACATTTACTATGATGGTGTGTGGAAGTGTCAAGCTACTTGGAAACTTTGGGTGACCTCATCAATTTTCTTAGGCAAGGAATACTCCTTCCTCTAAAATATAGACTATAGTCCCTGGTAGACTTGTGTACAGATTCATTTTGGCCGTTTGCCTTCGGCTTCTTTGGACAGCCATACGGCAAGGGCTCAGCCACCACGGTTTTTTCAACTGAAGGGGCCCGCATCACTGCCGGTTGTGGCTACCTTCTTTTCTATTCAGGATCACATGGAGAGGCTGCTGCATGCTCATGCAGGGTTTCCCTGTGAGCCCTGCCTGATAGGTCAATCAGAATAAAACGGCGTGACATGTCTTACACAGGTTGTGTCTATTTAATGGGACGAGTGCCTCCATTGCTCAGTTGCATCCTGGCTCTGAGAAGTGCTACTCCAGTCCATCTGATCATCTTGCCTTGTCTTGCCACTCACGCACAGCTCTGCTTTAGTTTTTTGCTTGGTTTCTAGCATTGAATCTTTTTGATTTTCCCTGATTTTCCTTTTTTTTATTGATTCTTCTTATTTAGTGGTACTGGGATTTGGAAAGTGAGAGTGGGTGGGTGTGTGCATTTGGGGACTTGGGAGGAAAGGAAGAACATCTCTTGGGTGGGTGTGCTTTTCTTTAAAATATTATGGTGGCTCTGAGCCTTTAACTTCTTCTCTTCTTTCCTCTCTGGATATTTTTCTCCTCCCTCCCCTCCTTCAGAAATATTTTTAAAAGATTATTATTATTATTATTATTATTATTATTATTATTATTATTATTATTATTATTATTATTATTATTACAGGGCAGGGCCAGCAAGGGATACCTTTTGGGGATTTTTTAAAGGAGAAATTAATTCTAGAAAGAAAAAAATCCTAAAAATCAGGAGATGACCCAAACATTATGAAACTTGATGGTCCAGTAGTGGTAGATGTGTCGTCCAAGTGTGGCCATTGTCATCCTAATAACCCTGAAAATGACGGGAAGGGGAGCCCATGAACCCCCCCCCCCCCAAGTTGCTGCCAATGGGCCAGATCTAGCTGGCAGACAGAAAACAGCTATTTGGCTGGCTAGCTGTTTATGGAAGACATTTGGGTAGCAGAAACAGACTGAGGTTCAGCCGAAATACACAAGCTTAGTACCTGGTATTCTTTGGCAATCTCCATCCAAGTATAAATAGGGCTGAACCTGCTTAGATTCCAAAACCAGACAGGATTTGGTGCCTTTAGGTTATTTATGGGACAAGTTGAGCATCCAGAAATCCAAAGGATTCCAAATTTTTTACCCCCAGCCACCCACTTGTACCTTTGAGGTGGCAGATGCAGTGTTTCTGCTCACTCATTCACAAAGCAGAAGTAGGCTGCTGATGGGCTACTTAAAAAGAGGCTAGAAAGAGATGTGAAGCTGAAGAGAGATTAGAAGATCTGTAAAATAGTGGAAAGTATGGATTCACATTGAGCACTACACCTGGGATTTCCACCAGTTCACAGCTCTGTGGTCCCTCTCCATCCTTGAGTCTTATTACTGGTATCCCAAAATCCAAAATGCTTCTGGTCACAAGCATTTCAGATAAAGGATACTCAAACTGTAACGGGTATAATGAAATGAATGAAATGCAGATAATCAATATGATTTCAAGGTGCAAGTGGTATTTAAAATAGTTCTTGAAATCTGCCCAATTTGCACAAGCTATTTATTACCAGACATAAAGCAGGCTCTGCACTGCTGACTGACCAGATCCTTAATGTTCTGTCTTCAGAAGATGAAACAAGCCAGTGGTTATCAAGGCTCCAACCAACTGAGTTAACAGCACCATCATGCCCTAAGAGATAAAGAAACATTTGTCTGTAAATACATTTGAATTTTTTCCCACAGCAATGAATAAATTACAAGATATTTTACCTCAAAAGCAATCACTGTTCATTTTACACACATATCTGTGTATGTATATAGACACATTTGAGCTCTTTAGGCTTAAAGTAAAGAGAAGGAGAAGTGTTGATGTACACAGTTTTCCAATGCTCAATGACAAAAATGTAGAAGAAATTGGATAACAAGCTTACAAAAAATATTGACTTAAATGGAGTTAAATAGAGACATGGAAATGTTAAAAAAGAAAAATAATTCCCCAAAGTAAAAAATTATAAATATAAACATATTTGAAGGTCCTAGGCTGTCCCCTAGTGTACATCACTGAAATTTTACTTTGTCATTTAATTTGTAGAAGGATTCACAATTTTAGTCACAACCAGTCTCTAAAACCTGAGAATAAATGATATGAAAAAATTCTGGGCAATGCAACATAAACTTGACCTTACATCCTTCCATACACTACTGTGAATTTTTAAATTATAAATTTCTGGGGATTATCATGAACATTGAAAATGTGTTGTTCTTTTTGTATGTACCAACCAGCATTAATTCTTCCAGAAAATACCAGGAACAATTTCATTTTAGAGTGTTGATGACTACTTTTCATTGATGTGATTTTACTTGTATTTTGTGTGGCTATGGCACTTGTATGTGTACAAACATTCTCACCACTGACTTCCTTCCCCTGGAAAACAGTGCCCACAACTGGAAATATTATAATGTCTTAACTCTGGCAAGTCCTCTTCTAATCATTTCACTGCCATTTCCAAATATACCTTGAACCCCAGCTTTCACCTACCTAGCGATTTGAAAGCAAAAATGTGAGATTAATAGTCACCGCTTAAAAAGAAGGGGGGGGGGGTTAAAAGGACTCAGAAAAAATGCTTGCGATTCATCAAAAAGTTTATGAGCAAAGCCCTTCGGCAGGGAGATGGAGCTACAGCACCGCCCTCCCCATGGCTGAAACCAAGCACAAGTCTCCAAGACACCATGGGGAAAGCTTATATATACATCTGTTATATGTAAAATTGAATGTCTTGTCTGTGTATAAATGGCATTGAGTGGTTTGCCCCATACGTATGTTCTGTGATCTACCCTGAGTCCCCTTGGGGGTGAGCAGGGCAGAATATAAAGACTGTAAATAAATAAATAAATAATGTCAAAAGCAGAAAAATCATATGTTTTAGATGGTTGTTAGCAGAGAAGGCAAAATAATACTTGCCAATATTTGTGTATTTAAAATAAACTAGGCTGAGCCAGCTCCTTTCAGGTGTAATTTTTCAGAAAGATTGAATGCCAAGGACACAGCAATACATGGATCTATCACATAGAACTAGAGGCATACACCTATCTCACAGATGGAAATTCATGTACCTTCTGAGAAACCAACCCTACATACATAGAACAATCAATCTTTGTCTCCTGATTTGTTTATTTTCCCTCGCCCCAGTGATTCTTATCTTCCAATATTCACTCACTCTCCTGGTGCCAGCCTTCTTGTAATACACATAAATGCCTGGCTTACTTAAAGCAATGTGGACCAACCGAGACATGGACCTGAACTATGCTGTTTTCAACCAGCACCCACAGGCAGACTGTTTGGGTTGAGAAGGCTCAACTGCTTTGACTATATGCATTAGCCAGGAGAAGCCAAGCAATTCTGCTGGGGGGTAGCCTTACTGGGCGGTGGATGCACATCTAACAAGCAGCAATACTACATGCTTGGCAAGTAGGCAGCAAAGCACGCGGCAGGGACAGAAACCTGTTGGCTTGGCTGAGGCATCCTCATCCTGGTTTATATGACAAATATCTACTTTAAGAAAGTATTTGATAATCCCTTTAGTGTTTTTCAACTTATTTACCTAGTTTTCAGTTGCCCCAATCATTTCAATATAGGTTGAAGGAGTTTTTAAAAGGTTTTTTCCTCACTAAATTAAGGATAGAATCACAAGTTAAGATGTACCTGAATAAACAGTTGGCGTTCCTGTGAGGTTTGACTTGAATGCCAGCAACGTTTTGTCAGCTAATCCACAAGCCAAGAGCTCTCCATCTCCTAATAATAAGATGTTAATACTATCATTTTAAACAGCAAATATACTAATGCATTAAAACAAATCTAGTTATTGCATTTAATAATGGATAGATGAACTAGTATTCATACCTAGTTTTATAGTCTAGAGTGGGCTTATTTCAGGCATTCAAATTCTATTTTGTTTTTAGTTGAATCTCAAGTTCCATCATATATTGTCTGATACAAAAGGCAACCATTTGGAATTAAATAATTCTGAGCCCATCTGAGGTTTTTCTGTACCTGAATATTGAATACAGCATACAGATGTTGATTTGTCAGCAACAGTAACCTGCCTCTCAAATTTGGTTGGAGGAAATTTTGGAAGTGGATATTCTTCACTTCTTCTTTAGGGACAAAGAAATAATAGGAAGAAAATCAAAATAATAAAAGCAATTATGCTGCACAATGAAAAAATTACTAATAAATCAAATGTAGTATTTTCACACATTTATATGCAGGTGTTCTGCGTGTTACTCCCTGAGGAAGGAATTCCAGAAGTCAGTTTCTGGGATTTTGGGGCGTTTTTTTGTTGTTGTTTTTGTTTTTTGTTATCTTGTACACTGCAGCTGCAGGATAATGCTACAACTACTTAATGTTATAAACACCTTTTCTTTATAGACCCACTTGTATTGTGTGCATGTGGTGCTTTTTGTCATGGCCTTGGGCCTGTACAATAAACTATTTTGATGATGAGTATTACTTACCGTTTGCTACCTTTTTTGCCTTTTGGTACTGAACTCTTTTGCATTGCATTCGTCTTTGGAGAAAACATAGTCATTCTGCAGGAGAAAATAACTATAGATGACAACACTGAAGACCAAATGAGACTAAAGTTTACATACTGCTGACAGGAGAGTTCACTCCAAACGAAATCTAGGTGCATGGGAAGGACTAACTTTAAGAATGCAGAAAAGAAGGAAAGGGTTAATTTCTTTATTTACTCACTTTGTTTTATATCCCACCCTCTGTCCCTCACAGAGGGATTCAGCGTGTCTAACTCTTCTTGAAGGAGGAGAAATGGAGTCAATAGTAATAACTAAAAATCAGATGGCTCCTGTCCCAGAGGCTGGTGAATGGAAATATAAGCCAGTGGGTTTTTTGTGGAGTGCTTCTTTGCACATTCCAAAGAATGAGTATAATATAATACTGGGCATAAAATCTTAACTTTCTTTTTAAAATGTTCTGGCTTCTGTGATGGAAAAGCTATGCATAAAAATGTATAGGTAGTGACTGCTGAATCTCAAAAGCCAGAGATGTGGCAGTTGTGTAAGGGAGGACTTAATAATTCAGCTATTTCTGACATCTACCCATAACTGACAAAACATTATACAACTATGGAGATTTTGCTCAATTCAGCTGTTTAATTTAAAACAGCATAATGTACACCAGGAGTGTTCAAACTTTTAAAGTCGAGGGCCAGTTCATGGTCCATCTGCCTGTTTGGGGGAGGGGGGGGAGGGAGACTAAAGTTTGAAAAAACATGAACACATTCCTGTGCACACTGCATAAGTGCAGACTTGCTTTGGGCTTATAAGAGAGTCAAAATAATTAGTATTGTTGTTGTTGTGTGCTTAAAGTCATTTCAGAACCTGGCATATGCTGCCTCAAGAGTCTGATAGATGGGTTGTTGTAGGTTTTTCCAGGCTATATGGCCATGTTCTGGAGGCAATTTTTTCTCCTGACGTTTCGCCTGCATCTCTGGCAAGCATCCTCAGAGGTCATGAAGTCTGTTGGAACTAGGAAAAATGTGTTTATATATCTGTGGAATGACCAGGGTGAGACAAAGGACTTTTGTTTGCTGGGGCTAGCTGTGAATGTTTCAGCTGATCACCTTGATTTGCATTCAATGACTTGGAAGCGCCATTGAATCAAGCAGGGAATTGGGGAGGCTTCCTTTAAAAATAAATAAATAAAAAGTTGTGGAGGAAGAGAGAGAGAGAGAGAGAAGAGGCCACTGGGATGGGATGCCCAAGGCTGGAGCCACCTGAACAGAAGGCAATGCTTAATTGGGATGAAGAAGGGACACAAGAGGCCGCTACCTCTCTTTCTCTCCTCCCGAGAGAAAAAAAGAAGGAGCAAATGAAGAGAGGAAGGAAGTTGAAAAAGGAATGAAAGGAGTAATGAAAGAAGCAAGGGAGGGAGGGAGTCCTGAAGAGAGAAGGCCGGTAAAAATTTGAACTGGGGCTACAATTGACCCCCAGGCTGGGCTTTGGACATGCCAAGTGTACACAAAGCCCTATATAAATCTATATCAATATCCAACAAACAAGAAATAAAAAAATTGCAAATGGGGATTTACTTTCTTCTTTACCAATCATACTCCCAAATCAGATCACGTTTGTGGACAAGTTTACATAGGGACCACCAAACGCAGCGCCCAGACACGCATCAAGGAACATGAAAGGCACTGCAAACTACTCCAACCAGAGAAATCAGCCATAGCAGAGCACCTGATGAACCAACCTGGACACAGCATATTATTTGAGAACACGGAAGTGCTGGACCACTCTCACAACCACCATGTCAGACTACACAGAGAAGCCATTGAAATCCACAAGCATGTGGACAATTTCAACAGAAAGGAAGAAACCATGAAAATGAACAAAATCTGGCTACCAGTATTAAAAAAACTCAAAAAATACAACAGCAAAACAACAGAGGGGAAACAAACAGGCACATGAAATCACTCTCAACAAAAGATTCCCCCAGGCGCTTCCAAGCCATTGAATGCAAATCAAGGTGATCAGCTGAAACATTCACAGCTAGCCCCAGCAAACAAAAGTCCTTTGTCTCACCCTGGTCATTCCACAGATATATAAACCCATTTTTCCTAGTTCCAACAGACCTCATTACCTCTGAGGATGCTTGCCATAGATGCAGGCGAAACGTCAGGAGAAAAATTGCCTCCAGAACATGGCCATATAGCCCAAAAAAACCTACAACAACCCAGTGATTCCGGCCATGAAAGCCTTCGACAATACACAGATCAAGTTTGTTTTACACTGATTTTTCAATACATCAGTATAGTTATGTAACTGATACAGAGCTCTACTTTCTGCAACAAAATAAGAAACTTTTAGCTGTAATTCCTAAAATAACATTTCTATCAAAATTTATACTCACTGTGGTGATGATGTATAACCTGATGACTTGATTTTATTATGAAAAACCAGGGGCTGATCTTTTACAGAGCTCTTTATACCTGAGTTTAAGTAAAATCAGTAGTCAATATGAAAAATGAACACAATAATCAGCAAACAGTAACTAAATGCATTAACCAAAACATTATTAAACATTTTTATTTATTTATATATATATATATATATATATATATATATATATATATATATTAAATACCAATAAGTTCATGCTGCTTGGCTTTTATCTTTTAAATACTCCAGAAGCAATTTAGCCTTATCATCCTAGAAAAAAGGGGGAGTTGAGTCAGTCTAATGGAGTCAGAAGCTCTAATGTGACCTAAAAACAGCATAAAGGACATTATTGTTATATGTCAAGTGTTTCATCTGATGGAGTCTGCATCCCTTAGCCTCATTCAGAAAAAACTGCAGTAAGAAAGAAGAGGAACCCAAAAACAAAATGCTTAAAGTTAATGCCAAGAAGAGCTCAGGCAATGCAAAGAAGTCCAGCTGGGCAAAAGAAATCAGAATAATGATAGTACAAGGGTGCTTCTTTTCAGATGTACAATTTTATTTTCTCCCTGGCTTTTGGCTTGAACAAGACACAATTCCTTCCAATCCATGCCTTTTAAATGTGCTACCTGTTCTCTAGCCCACTGAACAAGAAACATACCAAGTCATATGTAAATGATGATGATGATGATAATAATAGTAAGTAATCTAACGTAAGTATCTCATGACCATTGAAGAAATAAAGAGGCACAAAATGACCTTGAAGTTAAAATTCTTAATAGACAGAGCAGAAACAGCAGAAGATATTATGAGCAAGATCCAATAAAAATATACAGTGGGCCCTTGGTATCTGCTGATGTTTGGTTCCAGAACATCCCCCCTTCCCCCGTGGATACAAAAGTCCCATTATATACAAAGGCAAAGTAAAATGGCATCCTTCACATAAATAGCAAAATCAAGGTTTATTTTTGGGATTTAAAAATATTTTTTCAACCTATGGTTTAACTAGATAGTATAGATAGTTCCAAAGTTATTTAAAGTTTACCTTTCCTATGGACCAAGATGTTTTTTTCCTTCTTCGGGTATAATGGAGAGGTTGGTAAGAGGGTACACCTGAATTAAGAAATCAGCAAAGATAGGTTAAGTTTAGACAGATATTCTAACTGTGATCCACATGTCACTTTCAGAAGAACAATACTACTAACTTAAATAGAACTTCCTTCAAATAAAGGGTTGGGACTTACTAGGCCTCTTGGCATTAGGACACCTACGGTCTGGACATCACAACAAAAAAGGGCTTTCCCAACATCACAGCCTACTACTGTTCTGATGAGAATGTGTGAATTACTGAATGTTGTTCTCAAAAAGAACCTAATGTTTCCCTGACTGATGCAACTATATGGCAGGACTGTGAAGATAAATTTTAATGACTCATCACACATTGGAGTCACCCTTTCCTGGAAAATTTTCATCTGCATCTCTCCTGGAAGAAATATATAAGTAAATCTGAACCCATCACAAAGGTTTTTTTTTTCTAAAGTAAAGAGTCAAAGCCCAAGTGAATTTTGAATACCTCTCCTATAAATGAAAATAATTGCTCAAAATGTCAAGATAATCACACATTGTTTAATATCAACACAGGGGAAAGAGCTTGGAATCTTAGAAAACCCAAGCAAAGCAAAGCAAAGGAAGAGTGTAACCAGGATTAAGCTTTTCCTTTCCAATACAAAAAATAATACTATTTTAGTTGGGTTGACAACTCTCTGTTTGCTTCAGGCAAACACATTTCATAGTGAATAAGTTTTCATTTTTCCTGCAGTAGAGGACAAATGGGTAACACTAAAAATTGTGGAACCAGCTGTGAAATGGCTCTCTCCCTGCCTTACTGAATTGTGATTCCTCTAATAATGTCATGGCAATCCCAGGAATCCTGTTTCTTAGAAGATTTCTCTCATTCATTTGTAGCATTCTGGGGCAGGACTTTCCCATTCATGACAGAATGAGAGAGGGATGCAACACAGGCCCAAAGTTACTTAATGCCAAAAAAGCATGTGTAGTAGACTATTTCAGTCCAGGAAATGCACATAGAGTGAAAATAACATAAAGTTTCTGCTTGCATGGTGAGAGCAGTCCCTTTGCCATTTTGTTCAATAAAACTGCCAAATAGTCCATAAACGAAAGCAGTCAAACTTGCAAAGATACTCAAAATAGCTCTTTAATTTCATCTTCTTCACAGAAAGATTTAACGGCACATCTTCCAGTCCTTTCTCGTCCTCCTTGTCCTCTTTCTTTCTCTGTGACTCTCCTTTTAATCTCCCTGCACCTTGTCCTTCACATACACCTCTCCTACAATCACTCAGGTTATTGTCATCACAGTATCTCAAGCCTCGGCTCACATTTCTCTATGTTGAATTAAGGTTGTATGTTCTTTTCCCTAAAGGCAATTCCCTCATAATTCCACATAACTATCACAGGCACATTTTCTTTGATGTCTGAGACAGGAGACAAGATGTCACCCTAACCCCATGTACAAAAGGGAAATGAAAAGACAACTGAAATATGCATTTCAATTTTCAGGATCAATGGCCTCCAAAACATTTAAACACTTAAGGGCAACAAACTCATTTTAAAAATGTATGACAGGATATGTGATGCACCAACACTGTCTACCAACCTTGTCCTCCAATGATAAGGGAGCTCTTGGGAAATGGCTGAGAAGCTATCCCTACTGCTTCCCAACATCAACTGACTGAGATGGTTAACTCACACTGCCTTATGGTTGAGCAAGGGTTAATTTTTTTGAAACTTTGTATTAAACTGGGAAAAATATATATAATGAAACAAACTTTAACTTAGTTCTTGTGGGTTTTTTCGGGCTATATGGCCATGTTCTAGAGGCATTTCTCCTGACGTTTCACCTGCATCTATGGCAAGCATCCTCAGAGGTGAGGTCTGTTGGAACTGGGAAAAGGGTTTATATATCTGTGGAATGACCAGGGTGAGACAAAGGACTTTTGTCAGTTGGGCTAGGTGTGAATGTTTCAACTGACCACCTTGATTAGCATACAATGGGCTGACTGTGCCTGGAGCAACTCTTCTTGAAAGGTAATTAGATGTCTGCTCCAGGCACAGTCAGCCCATTGTATGCTAATCAAGGTGGTCAGTCGAAACATTCACACCTAGCCCAACTGACAAAAGTCCTTTGTCTCACCCTGGTCATTCCACAGATATATAAACCCTTTCCCAGTTCCAACAGACCTCACCTCTGAGGATGCTTGCCATAGATGCAGGCGAAACGTCAGGAGAAATGCCTCTAGAACATGGCCATATAGCCCGAAAAAACCCACAAGAACTTAGTGATTCCAGCCATGAAAGCCTTCGACAATAAACTTTAACTTAACTGAAATTATCCTTTACCTGGCAACAACTGAAAGGCTTTTTTCCTTTCCACTTAAAAGGAGTTCATTTTGTTGGGATCTCAACAGGGCGGCAACATTCACCTCCAGTAAGGCAATTCTGTTCTCAAACATTGAAGTTAGCACACAACAAACCTACAAAGATAAGTCTGTGAAGTATTTCTTCATTCAAATCAAAACAATACAATACAAAAGCAGTAAACAAAACATTAGTCAACTGGAACACAGGTCACCGAACACGGCTTTCTCATTGCCTGTTTTCTGCTGCAGCCCTCTAAGCTCCTGCAAAACCTGTAAGTTGGGGAGTTATTTGAAACATGCCACATGGTATGAAAGGTGCAGCAGAAAAGGAAAATTAGGAAAAAATTCAGGACCCTCATAAAATGCTTCTTTATAATTTCATAGCCATGCATGTGTCTTGTTAGAATGCGATATCATTCTCAAATGTCACTTTTTAGATCTGTGTAATCAGGCCTATAGCCAGGATTTTGATTCGGGGGGAGATGAGTTTGATTCGGGGGGGGGGGGCTGAGTCTGAGTGAAAGAGGGTCTACCCTAGCAAACCTTTTGTATCATTACCCAAATACTCCCATGCATATGGAATACATTGAGCATGGTGATCAGATCATGATATGAGTAAACATAACAGTTTAAATAATGTACCAGTAAGGCCTTCTCGCGGACTACCATGAGAATTTCGGGGGGGGGGGCCTGAAACAGCTCAAGGCCACCCCCCCCCCTTCCCGGCTACAGGCCTGTGTGTAATGGTCATTTTCACTGAATTACATCAGTGTAGGCTATATGATTTTGTTTGACTTCCATAATTTAGTCAGTCAGCCACCTCAATTCCACATCCAGAGTTGTTAAGCAGCCTTTCCCAGCTCCTGTCCCTTTATTTATCCAAACTACCATTAAAAATAAAGACAAAAATAATACTGAATGTCTCTGGTGTGTCTGACATCTTGAATTCCATCATATATATCTTGAAATAAAGGATCTAAGACAGCAACATTGGGAAAGATTCCTCCCCCAGATAACAGCTCACTCCACGTGAAAAAAATAAAAAAAAATACCAAATATTTTAAGACAGATACTCACCTTACCATTGACTGCCTTCTTCATTAAAGCACATGATCCAGCCGACTGAATGCTGAGAGCACTGAAATCTTTAAGCACACAGAAACCCAACATGAGGAAACAATTTTCAACTTTTTAAAATAAGAAACCACTGTACAAGATTAAATTATAAATTCACCTCATTTTTCATATGTAATATACGCAGATCTAATTGCATTGATATGAGAAGAATTGCTACCACGTTTAAAGAAAGTTATCTATAACCTTCCATTGAAATAATTACACACAAATTAGGGGATGCCTTTACCTTCTTCTTTGCCTGAGAAAGTTTAACTTGCCCAACGTCACCCAGTGGGTTTTCATGACTGAGCAGAGATTTGAACCCTGGTCTCCAGAGTTGTAGTTCAATGCTTAAACTACTACAGCAAGCAGGCTTAGGTCCCCTACCTTACTATAGTCTTCTCTTTGTTTCCATTAGTTAACTCATCGGGTTTAATAATGGTAACCAATCACGCAATAAACAGACATATTTCAAATTACAGTACGGATGCACACATGCACACTATACTATGCTACAGTTACAAACCAAGTAGCAAAAAGGTTATAATTATACCTCTATAATGAAGAATAGCTTCCAATTCAAAATTTGCCATGTTAATTATGAATAAACCAGTAGAGCTTCCTATCCATAAGCATCGGGCATTTGCATAAGAAAAACTGGAATAAAACAAAGAAAAGAGAGATCATCTTTTTTTATAAAAAACATAAACACCTTTCTTTATTGCTACAAAGAGGTATTTTGAAGTTTCACAGATCTGAAATGTGAACTGGAGATTTTATACATAGGAAAAAATATACTAGTCAGTCCCCTTTGGGTTGAGGGCGGTATATAAATACAGTAAATAAATAAAATTTAGATTTGACAGTCCACTCCAACAAATATCTAACCATATATTTAACTTCAACTTAAAAAGAACAATGTTTCTTCAGCAATGAGAGAAAACTGAAATGGAAATGGAAAAGCAATACATGTTTTTTCAGCAGTCTAGATCAAGGACAGCCCAAGTACAGTGGTTCAGGTACTGTTGATGATTTGCAATGGCTTATGAATCACCACAGTGCAGTTTTTGCAGGATGCACAGGGATGAGACATCACTAGAAATCAAAGAAAGCTGTTGCTGTTAGGACAAAAGATACCCTGTCAGTTCCTGAGCAACCATGGAAACAATGGGCTGATTTTCTCTTTATTATTATTATTTGCCATATTTATATCCTGCCCTTCTCATCCCAAAGGGGACTCATAACGGCGCACATAAAGGCACAATTCGATGCCATATGTGTTGCAATCCAGAGCAGGAAACGAGGCCCTAAGATAACTATCCACCACACTTGACTGTGAAAAACAATCCTTTTTTATTGAAGAAAAATGGTTACAGAATAAAGGAAAAATGCAAGTCAAAGGCCACAGCAAAATCAGCAAACATGAATTTAAATGGACAAAAACAAAACCCAAAGCCACACTGTAAAATACTGGAACCTGTTAGCAATCCACTAACCGTACTTGATATCCTAGAAATCTTTCAAGACAATGGCCAGGAAAACCGGGAGAACTGCCAAGGTCTTCATCAATCTGAAACGATGCCTGAACTGAGAAAGTCAGCCCGGCGGAAGGCACTTAAAGCCGAAGAATTGGTTCCGTGAACCGCCTCTCTGCTTTGAAGCCGTTGTTTGTATTTCTTTTAATCGGGAAGACCTTTGCAAGCTGAGTGATTTACTTCTGTCTTGCCAGATCTGGCCCCTTCTGTTCTCAATTAAAGTTACCAGGTGCAGAAGGGAGTGAAAGGTCATGGCTTCCCTCTGAAACATTCTCATGAACACTGGTACTTTCATTTTCCAAATCTACAGAAGTTTCTTCCTCACTAATTTCAGGAGCATTGGCATCATTGGCATACATTTTTATTAGCATCAGTAAATATATTTTCATTAGCATCAGGAGGAACAAACAGTGAATTAGGTTCAAGTTCAAACTCAGGATGAACCCCAACACTATGATGCATATCCAGCAAATAAAAACATATACATTAAAAACACCCACTAAAACATTTCAACATTAAAATAAAATTAAAATCACACAATTCTCTTCTGGTAGTGCTGACTTCCTCTCTCTTCCTCCATCCCCACAGCACATGTAACTATTTTTCTCCTGCAGGGATGCTGTCGCCATTACCTGAACTGACAACAGAATTGCCAGGTACAGTTGCATTAGGCAAAGAACAAGATAGTGTATTACTGCATCCACAACTCTAGTTGTTAACAGATCTAACACGGCTGAGTAGGACAACATTCTCTACATTCAAGAACAGAAATACGCATCAAGTGAAAGCTCTAGCCTTTTCATCCACCTTCACACTTAACGTATGATGCTTCAGGCAGATGCCTCAGTTTGTCCAACCCTACTGGCACAACCAGCAATGGCTGAGGCAGAGGTAAACTTGATTTGACTTGCAATTAGAACTTTTTTTAAATTATGTGGCTTAACACTGATATTATTCAAATAGCTGGATGACCTCCATATAATAATGTAATCCGATCACTACATTAACAAAAAATCTGCCTCTATACAATATTTCATACATCTATATGATTTTCTTTTGTCTCTACCTGGATACTTCATCATCTAAATGTGCAGACTTGTCACAGTGTTCAATTTGGAGAACTGGAAAAGTGGATTCAACCGTTTCTTCATATCTTAAATCATTTGAAGCATATGCCTTTGATGAATTCTGAATCTGATCTGTGGGAAATAAACAATGGCTGTACTATAAATGGCATGATGCCTTTATACATCACGATAATAATAATAATAATAATAATAATAATAATAATAATAATAATATAACTTTATTTTTATACCCCGCCTCCATCTACTCAGGGCAGCTTACATGGGGACAAGCCTGAACAGCATAATAAAATAAAACAGCACATTAACATATATAAAATAAAATACAACATTATAACAAAATATAAAAGCAAAACATCAAGCAACAACCAATCAGTTTTCTGGATATGGGTAGGAGGACTGGTGCAAGGACAATTGTGAGGATAGGGCTGATGGATAAAGTGCATCGATTCCATGACAATAGGGAAAATAGATGGCAGTATGAGAATACAAGATTATGAATTTAAGCACAGAACAATAATGAAGTGCATGGACAAGATTTTGGATCCTAGTTTGGGGCCCAGCTATCTAGGGGGTTATCTAGTCAAAGGCACAGCAGAACAACCATGTATTTAAATGTTTGCGGAAGATGGACAGGGTGGGTGCTAGGATAATCTCCCTGGGGAGGGAGTTCCAGAGCCAGGGGGCCATAACCGAGAAGGCCCTCTCTCTCATCCCCAACAACTGTGCCTGGGATGGGAGCGAGAGAAGAGCCTGCCCAGACAATCTTGGATATCGTGTTGGTTCATAGTGGAAGATGCGGTTACGAAGATAGGCAGGTCCCAAACTGTTTAAAGCTTTATAGGTAATAACCTGCACCTTGTATTGGGATAGTTTCCTTCTGTATTCATTTGCCTGAGAATTTTCTTTACTTTGAAGATGTCCTCATTTTTTGTGCAACTGCTATCAATGTGTATGGTAAACCAACAAATCAATCCATGTTAATCAAAAGTCTATATTTCAAAACTACATTTTAGGCATATCAACAGAAAAATACGTAATTAAAAAAAGTTCTGGAAGTGTTTTACCCAAATGTTCAGATTTTCCAATTTTGCTGTAAAACTTCTCCCTCTCTTTCTGTACATTAATGTGTACCACACAGCGATATTGGTGCCCACTAGTCAAGCTAAAGATCCACAGCTGAAAGGGAAAATATAGCCACTGTCACTTATTTTTCCATATTTCTTCTAAAAATAGAATGTTTCTGATACTATTACCAGGGTTTAATTGTAAGGTTGTTGCCAGATACAAAATCTAATCAATACTACAATATTTCAAATACACTTTTGTTAAGCATGAGCATGAAATGGTACTTTTGGTAAATAACACTGGTAAATAACACAGGCAGTCCCCAAGTTACAAACATCCTACTTACAAATGAGGTGAACGGAGTTGAAACAACAGAAAGTGAGAGAAATCTATCCTAGGATTTCAATGTAATTAAACTTCCTAAAAAATGCAAAATATGTATATGTGTGTGTGTGTGTATAAAATTTTAACACATGATGCTAATTTTAATAACAAAATGGAAATAGATGCTGTTTATACTTCATACCTGTCCATCTGCACACCCAGTTATGATCTGCTTATTTTCTTCATCAATGAAGAGACTTAAAAGAGGAAATGCTGTATAAAAAACCCACACTGCATTAATACTGAAAATGGACTAAGTGTCTGCTTCTTCATCCCCAAGCATGCAATCTCACATAATCCCCTGTATATCAGGTTATAAATAATTCAAATGTTTACTGATTATTTCAAAAAGACAGTAATGTATTTTAACTCCACGAGGAAGCCATTTTGTGGCAGTGGTCTGTAAAAAGATAGAAGTGAAAATAAGTTTAAGCAAGTATACACCTGTTCTCGGTTTCAAATCCCGTCCTTAAACTGCTTAAATAGAGTGACGGTTTCCTTATACTTATACATAAAATATAGACAAACCATTAGAATAGCTTCTATACAACTATTTTTGGAAATGAATAAAGAAACAAGCATGAATAAAAAGAGGCAGACAACAAAAACAAAAACAAACTATGAGGAAGAAATGCAAACCTGCAAGTGGTGAGTAAAAATAAGGACTCTACACTACCAAATCAGGGCAACAGTAAAATGTGGCTACCCACCATAAACTGGATTCACCCCAATACTTTATCATTACAGGAGTACTGCTGCTTACTCAGTGGGTTTATGTAGCTGAGTGGGAATTCAAACCCTGGTCTCCAGAGTCCAACCCTAAAACCACAACACCGCATTGCCTCTCCTCAAAATCACTAGCAACACACATCCCATCTACACTGCCATATACTCCAGTTTCTGAATGCAGATTATCCACTTTAAAGTGGATTATACAGCAATGGAGACTCATATACATTATTATTATTATTTGAAACATAACAAAATTACTACATAGCAAACAAGGTCACTATGCTGGCTGTTGTATTAGATCACATGTCGGACACTTCCCAAGTGTCTAGGACTGTGTGATGTATCGGTGTGCAGATCCCAGTAGGGTGGCCTTTTGCAGCTGACAGATAGTAATTTTGTCAGTGCTGATTATGTTTAAGTGCAGGCCAAGGTCTTTAGGCACTGCACCAAGTGTGCCAATCACCACTGGGACCACTGACTCAAAGCAGCTCAAAACTAAAAGCATTTCGGTACAGTCAGGTTCATACAAGGGAATGCAGTCAGCCAAATAGTCTGGACCTGAATCACCTAGGGCTTTAAATGTCATAACCAGCACTTTGAATTGTGTCTGGTAACAGATTGGCAGCCAGTCAGAAAAAATCCAGTTTAAAGCAGATAATCTGCATTCAGAAACTGGAAGTATAGATGGGGTCACATATTGCTATAGAGATAGCAGACCTTTCTAGATTATCTCTTTCCACAAAACTTAACAGGGCAGTAGGCAACTACCAATATTTTTACATGTATTATTGTCAGTAGAAACCAAATAAATATGAGGAATAATGCATTGAACTGAACTTATTCTGCCCAATGCCTCCAAACAATAACACTTGGAATGATTATACTAATCTTTTACTACAACTATTGTTTTTAAAACATACACTAATTGATTCTTTTAGTTTTTAAACATACCTGTTATTACTGCTGATTGATATATTAGCAGTCCAGTACAATAATCCCATACCTTTAAAAACATAGTAACAAGTAAATGTCAATTTATATAATAATGAAAATTAACAAGTAAATGTCAATTTATATAATAATGAACCACACTTTACATCACTGCAATCTATATGAAAAAGAAAGGAAACAATTGATTGATTTTGCAAGTAAGTGTTTGACACCATAGACCAGGCATGGGCAAACTTCAGCCCTTCAGGTGTTTTGGACTTCAACTCCCACAATAACCTAACAATTGGTAAGATGGCTGTGATTTCTGGAAACTGAAGTCCAAAACACCTTGAGGGCTGAAATTTGCTCAAACCTGCCATAGTCCACGCAAGAGAGAAATGGAATTACCAGTATGTTGCTGTTCTCCTTTACCACTGTATCAGAGAAAACAGATATGCATGCTATATATAGTAGTTCATTTAGTCTTCATCTGCACAGTAAAGTTAATGCAGTTTGACATGACTATTACTGTCATGGCATCCTAGGAGCTGTGGTTTTACAAAGTCTTTAGCCTTCTTTGTCAAAGAGTTATAGTGTCTTGTCAAACTACAGTTCCCATGATTCTACAGCATTGTGTCATGGCAGTTATAGTCATCTCAAGAGGTATAAATTCTACAGTGTGGATGCTCCCAAATATCACAGTTCAGTTGTACAAGTAATTCCATTTCATAATACCCAAGTGCTTCTTCATTTTATTTCAATATTGTACCCTGAAGCAAATGGAACATATTTTAAAATAGGGAGAGGGATTCATGAGGGAGAGTGAGGACAGTAAGAAAAAAAATCCTTGCCTTAAAACTTCTGTCTTCAGACACTGATATCAGTATATTTTTCTCCCAAGTACAAAACTCAGCAGCTGTCACTGGAGCCAAATGGCCCTCTAGTTCCGCAAGTATAGCCTCATCCTACAATCAGTTCAAAATACACACATTTGAATATACATTTTTGCTCTCTTTAGTATTTCACATAATGCCACTTCATTTGTATGATAAATTCTGGTACATTACGTTATTTGGCAAGTGATACATTGTCTCCCCAGCACAATCCACTAATAATGTTTCTTATTTAAGATCTACTGAAATAAATGAAAGCTATAGAAAAGGACAATTATTTACATGTGCCATTATTTTCAGAGTTCTCATGAGTAATTTTTGGAGAACTGTGTACTGGCTGCAGCATTATTATTGAATTTCACTATTATGGTTACATGTATTTCCATATTATACGCTTAGTTTCACCAACAGGTAGTTTTCAATGACTTAAAAGATGATAATCTTTTCTATCATGTTCATCTGTGTATGTTGCTTTATTGTTGCTGCTGTTGTCATGTGCCTTTCAGTCATTTCTGACAAATAGCAACCCTATCATAAGTATTTCATTGTAGGTTTCTTTGGATGAGGTTTGGTCTTGCCTTCTTCTGAAGTTGAGAGAGTGTGACTTGCCCAAGGTCACCCCATGCCATTTTCATGGGTGAATGAGGATTTGAAGTCTAGTCTCCAGAGTCACATTCTGCATCTGCACTGTAGAATCAATATCGTTTGACACAACATTAAATGCCATGGTTCAATGCTGGAATCCTGAGTAGTTTGGTGAAGCACCAGCACTCTTTGTTAAAGACTAAAGACATAAAACTACAACACCCATAAACTCATAGCATTGAGCCTTAGCAGTTAAAATGGTTTTAAACAGCATTAATTCTACCGATTAGATGCAGCCATAGTCCAATGCTCAAACCATTATATCATGCTGGCTATTATGGCTATATAACCATCCACAGCCAAATTAAATTAAAATCAATTAAATATGTAAATCAAAAATAAAAACCATTGTGACTTTAAAATACTGGAATTTGCAGACTCCATAAATAAATTTTTCCTCCCATTTCTTTAATTATGACTACATTTTTTGTTCTTTCATGTCTTTCATTTTTATTCCACATTACTTTTCTTCTAAATTGTTATGTCTCCACAAGAGATCTGTTAAAGCAATACCAAAACTTCCAGTGGCTGAAAATGAATACAATTTAAATATAGTCAAATATTCACTGATATTTTGAACTTGTTCAATTCAAATGCATACTGTGATTATTACATAAATAAAACAGAAAAATTAAAACTATGTGTTCATCTTAAATAGCTTGTGAAAAATACAATTAGTGCAAAAAGCTAAACATTTCACTTTACTCCACATTTTTAAATTAATAAAGCATGCTGACATTGTATTCTCACTCACTTTTGCATTTAACATGTAAATCCTATTGCCAGCACATACTGCCACAGTCTGATCATCTGGACTAAATCGGACATAAAGCACCATTCCCAAGAGTGTCCCTATAACAATACCTTGTGGCATTAATCCTGTAGTAATTGAAACAAAGTGTACAATTATTAAGCCTGTAACAATGTATGTATAAAGTCTATTTCAATTGCTCTGTGAAAGCCAGTGACTATCATATACCATATCAAATAGTGCAAATATACAACGGCAGTACTCGCAGTTAATTAATCCACATAAGAATAAAATATGCCATCTTAGAGTATTTTCTAGGTCCTCCAATACAACTCTATTGTATTCTTGCGGCATACATTCTTTATTTCAATATGCTACACTATCATCTGCCTTTTGTGTATCTATACAAAGTTGTGTATCAGTGGATATGGGGATCATACAGGATAAACAGAAACTATACCAAACTATAGCATAATCCTGAACATGCCTACTTAAACGTATGCATGACTGTGTTCAAACAGACTTATTTCAACAAGTAATGGAATTTGCGCTGATCACCTGATTGGTATTATACAATATTCAACAATTCAGAAAACAACCTCATTCAAATGCAGTCCAATCTGATGCAACTCCAAAGCAGAAATAGAAATCCAAAACTTCATACTTGCCTATGGCTAAAATCCAATGAATTTCATCAAGTTCTGTTTGTCATAACTGGATGAAATTTCCAGGCATAGTACCCTTTAAAGGAGGATTAAAATTCTAATTTTGGACAAATGGTGTAAGAGTGTTGTGTTACATGCCTTCGTGTTTTATTTATGCATTCATTCCATTTAGATGCCCCTGTATATAATTGCTTGTAAGCTATGTAAGAAGAAAGTTGGGATATAAATTAATAATTTAAATAGGTAATAAAATAGTTAACTAAACATGTCTTGCAGAAACCAAAATGAAATGTATTTTGCTTCATCCCCATTTCCCTCCTCTTCTTACTGTAACGAATACATTATACCTGGCTTAATAAAACACTCCAATTTGTCAAACCAAGTCTGCCAAATTCATAAACTTACTTTAAGAGATTCTTGGAATAATAATTTGCTTGTTCAAATGTTATGGCAAACTATGGTTAGAAATCGGAAAATATTGGACTAAGCTAAGGGTACCACGAAACCCACAAACAAAACTTGAACAAGTAGGTTCTTGTGGGTTTTTTCGGGCTATAGAGCCATGTTCTAGAGGCATTTCTCCTGATGTTTCGCCTGCATCTATGGCAAGCATCCTCAGAGGTTGAGAAGGTCTTGAACAGTCAAACGCAGTTTAGAAAACTTGAGACGTATGCAGACTAATGTACTATGCAAATGTTGCTTAAATCACAAGACAATAATATCAAATATATCACAATGTCCTCACCTTCTAGCACCTTCTTCATACATGCATCCAGATCCCACACTATCACATAGTCACTCGAAGCAGAGCAAATTAGAAGTGGACTGACCTTGCTTCCAAATGCAACGGCAGTAATTGAATGGTGATGGCCAATTAAGTGTAATGGCTGACAAAATAAGATTGGGATACTTTGAAACAGAAATTAAATGACAGACACAGAGAAGTTCAATTTCTTCTAAAATATTTTTGTTATAGAAATTTACCACTTGGTTTCAGAAGCAAATAGTGTGTAGTTATAAATATTTTGATTTATTCTAAAAATGCTTTTCCAAGATATTCACTTTTGTTCCAGTGTCTCAGGGACTAGCACCATATTTCAGCCCACCCACTGGCTACAGTTGTCTCTTTCTTTCCTGAAAACTCTCAAGAGGATCATCAAGTGAGGCCTTATGTACCAGCACTGGTCCATGGAGTACTGCTCTAAAACATAAATACACATATATATCCAATTGGCCAGGAACAGCATCTTCACGTAATGTCAAAGTGTATTATCAAAAGAGCATATAATATTCCATTTACCAAAATCCCCAGCACATAGCTTAATTCAGTGGCACACAGCAAAATCAAAAGGAGCAGCCGCTCTCAAATGTAACAGTTCTAGGTCTGGATAAGGATTCCACTGTATATAGGCTTCAGGGATACATTCAATAAGAAAAATCATATAAACAAAGTAAGCATTGAGTCATGAGGCTATATGTAGACTAAAGACAATAATGAAGATGGAGCGCCACTCTCAAAACAATTTCATGGAAAAAATCCAAATCAAGTCCAGTGAAAATGGAGCACTGCTTCTCAAAATAAGTCTATAAATTCTACTTGCCAGATGCCATACTACATTATGAGTATAGATCAAGTGTCCCCAAACTTAGGACAATGGACCAGAAACAGCCCTCCAAGTTCATGTACCCCCCTCCTCCATCCCCCGGCACCAAACTTTAGACTTAGGGTTGACCTATGTCTGAAACGACTTGAAGACACACAACAATAAACAATCCTGATGAAGTTGACTATCTCATCAGCCAAAAGCAGTCCCACACTTCTCATTGAAATACTGGTAAATTTATGTTGGTTAAAATTGTTCTTCATTTTAAACGGATTCACTGCTCCCACGGATTCACTGCTCCCACAATAACAGATCCACCATCTGTTCCAGCAACCAACCATTCAGACTATACAACAGTTTCAGTAACAGGGCAAAACAATTGTAACTAAACAGCCTCTCCTCTTTGCAGTTCCCTACACTTCTCCAAATCTCCAGAAACCTGAAGTAGATTTGAAAGGATGCAAAGTGGACAGGAGGAAGATGAAATCATTGAAAAATTATCTTCTCTTAGTTGTCTATCAGCAAATCATTACTAAATACAATCATCTGATACAGTAAGACTAGCCGAACCTGACAGTATTTAATCTATTTACAGTAATTTCAGAAATATGCACAAGTTTGGATATCAGCAGGAAATCTAGAGTAATTGTAAACAAAGTTAAGGATGAGGATAGGGACATGAATTTCTCTTTCTGAAATACCTGAATGCTCACTGCTTTATAGAACAGAAAATTTATGGAACACAGAAACCGAAACAAGAGGTATAGAGAAAAGGAAGGAAAGTTGACATCAAACAATACGCTATAAATTCTACTTGCCAGATGCCAGACTACATTATGAGTATAGATCAGCTGTCCCCAAACTTAGGACAATGGGCCAGAAACAGCCCTCCAAGTTCATGTACCCCCCTCCTCCATCCCCCGGCACCAAACTTTAGACTTAGGGTTGACCTATGTCTGAAACGACTTGAAGATACACAACAATAAACAATCCTAATGAAGTTGACTATCTCATCAGCCAAAAGCAGTCCCACACTTCTCATAGAAATACTGGTAAATTTATGTTGGTTAAAATTGTTCTTCATTTTAAATATTGTATTGTTCTATCATCGGGGTTTTTTTTTTTTTGGTTTTTTTTTTTTTTTGCACTAGAAATAAGATATGTGCATAGGAATTTGTTCATTTTTTTTTTCAAACTATAGTCTGGCCCCCAGCAGTCTGAGGGACTGTCAACCAGCCCCTGGCTGAAAAGGTTTGAGGACCCTGGTATAGATCTTTGCTTATTTCATTTAGTTTTAATTTTAAAATCTATTAGAAGAAAATGTCTGTGATTTTTTAAAAAATCCTGTAGTTTGGGTAAACATCATGTTGAGACATTGTTTCTTGTCAAGGATAAGAAAAACCTTTGTTCTTTAAATTTCTTTTTCATTCAAGGATGAATGTTAGAATGTCAGACTGGTCTCATGCTATATGTACTGTTACCAGATAACTACTATTTCCATTAATTGCCAGGAATTTGCATATGAACACTGATTTTCAACATAAACTAAACATCCAAAAAGATATAAATGTTAACCTCATGCTTAGGATCATCAGTCGTATCCAAAATACAAAGCTCATTTCCATTCAAAGGAAAAGCACAGTAATGGAGGCTGCAAGCAAGCTGAACATGTGATTCTGATACTTGGGATTTAAAAACTTGTTTTTCAAGAACTATGCTGCTGTCACATCCTTCTTCAGGAAAGCAGAGGTCTTCAGGGCTTTCCATAGTATGGCTGAAATAGATATAAAATGAATGAATGAATGAACGAACAAACGAACAGCAGAAGGCAATCTGGATGGGAAAAATTGTTGGGAAAACAAGGAATCTCTGCAGGTTTTTGGAAGCATGATCCTTTTGGAGATCAATTGCCATTCACGCTGTTTCGAATAATCATGACCCAAGGAAAGGCATGACCTTGTTATAAATTATAACCTTTTGTAAATTATGATATTCCAGAGAAGAGTTAAAGACTTGCTTGAGTGAACCTTCACTTCAGTGGTAAATATCCACTTGTATTCATGGAAGGCAATTCGACTTCTCAACTGTTAGACTGATATACTTAGATACCTCTTTGAACTGTTAGGAACAAAGATATGCCAATGCACAAAAAACTGCAGAGTTTCAGAAGTGTTCTTTGAGTTGCCCAAAAAAATCTACTCTCCCTTAAAACATATTGATTTAAATCATGCTCTCAAGAGATCAAAAAATAACATTGTTGGTTTACTCACTAACTTCATGTATTCAGCATACAGGTACACTGCTTATCAGTCTAGTTACAAATAGGATTTGGGGCAGTTTCTCTGTGTAGATAACACAGGACATCTTTCTTAGAATCTAAACAGTTCAAAGTAAAGCATCTCTCCAGTCTGAGAGTCTAATAGAGTCTGTATAGTCTGTATAGTCTGAAAGCCCAACGCTTTAAGCCAATCCTCATAGGGCTTGTTCTCCAGACCCTTGATCATTTTGGTCGCCCTCCTCTGGACACATTCCAGCTTGTCAACATTTCCTTTCAAATGCAGTGCCTAGAATTGGAACAGAATGCTTTAAAGAAGAGACTCTATTAGACCCTTACACTAGAGCAGTGGTTCTCAACCGGTGAGCCATGGCCCAGCAGTGTGCCGTGATAACAAAAATCTGGTCCATGAACCTCCTTCCTCTTTATTTTATTTTATTTCATTTCTATTCCTTTCTGCAGCACTAACCAGCCATGCCCCTTTTTGTACTAATGTTGGAGAGTGATCCCTGGTCAAACTGGTCCCCATTCAAGTGGGCCCTGGTTAAAAAAAGGTTGGGAACCACTGGACTAGAAAGATGCTTTAGACTTTGGACTATTGATTATAAGAAAGATGCCTTGTCTTATCTACACAAACTACTTCAAATCCTATCTGCAATTGGATTGATAAGAAATATACCTGTATGCTGAATACATGAAGCCTGTGAGTAAACCAGCTATATTACTTTTAACTAAGACTACTTTATTTTTGTCTCTTGAGAGCATGACTTAAACCAAGATGTTTTAAAGGGGAGTAAATGTCTCCAGCAAAGGATCACCGCCTTGTCGGGGCGCTGGAGCTTGAGCACCTCAATGATGTCATGAGCGAAACCGTGAAGGGCCACCCAAGACGGGACGGTTGTGGCAGAGAGGTCAGACCAAGCGTGATCCCTGGGGAAGGCAATGGCAAACCACTCCAGTATCCTTGCCAAGAAAACTAAATGGACCAGTACAACCAGAGATATGTCGGTATGCCATTGGAAGATGGGACTCCCAGGTCGGAAGATGGCCAAAATGCTACTGGGGAGGAGCAGAGGATAAGTTCAACTAGCCCCAGATGTGATGACGCAGCTAGCTCAAAGCCGAAAGGAAGGCTAGCGGCCGACGGTACTGGAGGTGAACGACGAATCCGATGCTCTAAAGATCAACACACCATAGGAACCTGGAATGTAAGATCTATGAGCCAGGGCAAATTGGATGTTGTTATTGGTGAGATGTCAAGACTAAAGATAGACATTCTGGGGGTCAGCGAACTGAAATGGACTGGAATGGGCCACTTCACATCTGACCACCAGATCTACTACTGCGGACAAGAGGAACATCGAAGAAATGGAGTAGCCTTCATAATTAATAAGAAAGCTAAAGCAGTGCTTGGATACAACCCAAAAAATGACAGAATGATCTCAATTCGAGTGCAAGGAAAGCCTTTCAACATTACAGTGATCCAAATATACGCCCCAACCACAGCTGCTGAAGAAGCAGAAGCAGATCAGTTCTATGAGGATCTGCAGGACCTACTGGATAATACACCAAAAAGAGACATTATTTTCATTACAGGAGACTGGAATGCCAAGGTGGGAAGTCAAATGACAACTGGGATCACAGGCAAGCATGGTCTGGGACAAAAAAAAGGGAGGACAAAATGAAGCGGGACGCAGGCTGATAGAATTTTGCCAGGAAAACTCGCTGTGTATAACAATACTCTCTTCCAACAACCTAAAAGACGGCTTTATACATGGACCTCACCAGATGGTCAACACCGAAATCAGATTGACTACATCCTTTGCAGCCAAAGGTGGCGGACATCCATCCAGTCGGTGAAAACAAGACCTGGGGCTGACTGTAGCTCAGATCACGAACTTCTTATTGCTCAATTTAGAATAAAACTAAAGAGATCAGGGAAAATACACAGACAGTTAGATATGATCTCACTAACATTCCTAGCGAATATACAGTGGAAGTGAAGAACAGATTTGAAGGACTAGATTTAGTAAACAGAGTCCCAGAAGAACTATGGACAGAAGTCCGCGACATTGTTCAGGAGGCGGCAACAAAGTACGTTCCAAAGAAAAAGAAAACCAAGAAGGCAAAATGGTTGTCTGCTGAGACACTGGAAGTAGCCCAAGAAAGGAGGAAAGCAAAAGGAAACAGTGATAAGGGGAGATATGCCCAGTTAAATGCGCAATTCCAGAGGTTAGCCAGACGAGATAAGGAACTATTTTTAAATAAGCAATGCATGGAAGTGGAAGAAGACAACAGAATAGGAAGGACAAGAGACCTCTTCCAGAAAATTAGAAACATTGGAGGTAAATTTCAGGCAAAAATTGGTATGATAAGAAACAACGATGGCAGGGACCTAACAGAAGCTGAAGAGATCAAGAGAAGGTGGCGAGAATATACAGAAGATCTGTATAGGAAGGATAATAATATTGAGGATAGTTATGACGGTGTGGTGAATGAATTAGAACCAGACATCCTGAGGAGTGAAGTTGAATGGGCCTTAAGAAGCATTGCTAACAACAAGGCAGCAGGAGATGACGGGATCCCAGCTGAACTGTTTAAAATCTTAAAAGATGATGCTGTCAGGGTGATGCATGCCATATGCCAGCAAATATGGAAAACACAAGAATGGCCATCAGACTGGAAAAAATCAACTTATATCCCCATACCAAAAAAGGGAAATGCGAAAGACTGCTCAAACTTCCGTACAGTGGCCCTTATTTCATCATGCCAGTAAGGTAATGCTCAAGATCCTGCAAGGAAGACTCCAGCAATACATGGAGCGAGAGTGGCCAGATGTTCAAGCTGGGTTTAGAAAAGGCAGAGGAACCAGAGATCAGATTGCCAATATCCGCTGGATAATGGAGAAAGGCAGGGAGTTTCAGAAAAAATCTACTTCTGCTTCATTGACTATTCTAAAGCCTTTGACTGTGTGGATCATAATAAATTGTGGAAGTTCTTGGTGGGATGGGCATCCCAAGCCACCTTGTCTCTCTCCTGAGGAATCTGTACAAGGACCAAGTAGCAACAGTCAGAACTGACCACGGAACAACAGACTGGTTCAAGATTGGGAAAGGCGTACGGCAAGGCTGCATCCTCTCACCCAACCTTTTTAACTTGTATGCAGAACACATCATGCGATGGGCGGGGCTGGATGAATGCAAAGCTGGGGTGAAAATTGCTGGAAGAAACATTAACAACCTCAGATATGCAGATGACACCACTCTGATGGCCGAAAGCGAGGAGGAGCTGAGGAGCCTTCTAATCAAGGTGAAAGAAGAAAGCGCAAAAGCTGGGTTGCAGCTTAAAAAACCAAGATCATGGCAACAAGAATGATTGACAACTGGCAAATAGAGGGAGAAACCGTGGAGGCCGTGACAGACTTTGTATTTCTAGGTGCAAAGATTACTGCAGATGCAGACTGTAGCCAGGAAATCAGAAGACGCTTACTTCTTGGGAGGAGAGCAATGTCCAGTCTCGATAAAATAGTGAAGAGTAGAAACATCAGACTGGCAACAAAGATCCGCCTAGTCAAAGCCATGGTATTCCCTGTAGTAACCTACGGATGTGAGAGCTGGACCTTAGGGAAGGCTGAGCGAAGGAAGATCGATGCTTTTGAGCTGTGGTGTTGGAGGAAAGTTCTGAGAGTGCCTTGGACTGCGAGAAGATCCAACCAGTCCATCCTCCAGGAAATAAAGCCCGGATGCTCACTGGAGGGAAAGATACTAGAGACAAAGTTGAAGTACTTTGGCCACATCATGAGGAGACAGGAAAGCCTAGAGAAGACAATTATGCTGGGGAAAGTGGAAGGCAAAAGGAAGAGGGGCCGACCAAGGGCAAGATGGATGGATGGCATCCTTGAAGTGACTGGACTGACCTTGAGGGAACTGGGGGTGGTAACGGCCGACAGGGAGCTCTGGCGTAGGCTGGTCCATGAGGTCACGAAGAGTCGGAGACGACTGAACGAATGAACAACAAATGTTTTTGGGCAACTGAAACAATACTTCTGAAACTCTGCTATATATGTTTTGTTTTTTTGTGGGGTTTTTTTTTTTTTTTTTGCATTTACATATCTTTTTCCCTAACAGTTCAAAGAGATATCTAGGTATATCAGTCTTACAGCTGAGAATCCTAATTGCCTTGCATGAATGCTAGTGGATATTTACCACAAAAGTGAAGGTTGACTCAAGCGGGTTTTTAACTCTTCTCTGGGACATTCCTGATTTTCCCAAAAGGTAGTGAATGCCATTTCCCAAAAGGTTATGGAGATTTCCACTTCCCAAAAGATCAGAAATGTCTTTCGTTAGGGCTATGAATATTCTACACAAGGATTCTTATGAAAGTTGCCAAAGATACATTTCCATTTAAACCTCCTAACATGGAAAAAAGTATTTAGCGGCATACTTATTCGGATTCAAATAGACCTCGTTTTTCTCAGAATTTTAAAATGTGACACATTTGACTGCCTCTATTACATCAATGCATGAGTTTATGTTTACAGTAAAGTGGGACAAATAGTCAAAAATCAATAGCAACTCACATTAATCTTTAGTGACTTGAACAAGCTGTACTTCATCACGGTGTGATGTACTGGAGTTCAGAGCTACATTACTAAAATCTTCAAATGAATGGGAAAAAAGAGGAGACAGCTGATTAAAGGCTGGGATAATTAATGTATGCTACTAATTTTTTAATTCAGGTCAGTATGCCATTCCAGCTATTGTTTTGCCCACATTGCAATACATTCTAGGAAGGGGCGGGGCTTGTCGTTTCCTCGCGTTTGAACTTCAACTCCCAGAATTCCAGAGCCCCGCCACGCTGGGCCGGGGCTTCTGGGAGATGAAGTCCAAAGCGGGTGCTCGGGATTAATACGGCCAATAGAGATAGCGTTATAGAGCGCGTGCTCAAGCCCACCGCCTCCCAGTCCTTCTCGCAGTTCGGGAGCTGCCTTCGGCTCCCGCTCACCGTCCGTGGTGCCCGTGCCAGCCGCCCAGTGGCCGCTCACCGGCTACAATGAGGAGGAGGAGAGGAGGTGGAGGCCGCGGTGGTCGGACTCTTCTCTGGCCGAAGGATGAGCAGAGCGCCGCGCGGTTTCCTAGGCAACAGTGACGCCTACGGCAAACCTGTGAGGCCAATTGCAGGCGTTTCCTCTCTCGTTCGCTGTCAGGGTGAAGTTTGACAACGGCCCCATCAATGCTGAATTACATGGTCAGTGTCCAGACATGGTGTTTTGGACTTCAACTCCCACAATTCCTAACAGCCGGTTTGCCCAGGCCTCCCCAAACTCAGAATGGCAGCCTAGTTCTTTGGAAGCCATTCAGCCTTTATTCCTGTACTAATTACTCATCTTGAATTAATTTCCCGAATATCGAGCAAAGTTTATGAATGTCATTTTCGTCTTATTATTCTTATATTTATTTATACCAGCTTTATCTCCCCCATGGTGGAGAACTTGCTGACTGGAAGGTTGGTGGTTTGAATCCGCAAAACGGGGTGCGCTCCCATTGATACCCTCGGCTTCTGCCAGCCTAGCAGTTCGAAAACACGCAGATGTGAGTAGATCAAAAGGTACCACTCCGGCAAGAAGGTAACGGCGCTCCATGCAGTCATGCTGGCCACATGACCTAGGAAGAGTCTACAGACAATGCTGGCTCTTTGGTTTAGAAATAGAGATGAGCACCAACCCACCGAGTTGGACTTGACTAGATTTAACGTCAAGGGAAAACCTTTACCTTTACTTATCTTCCCCAAAGGGGACTCAAAGCAGCTTAACATAAAAATGTTAGCACAGCATTGAAAATACACAAATATTAAAACATCTAAACATTAACAGTATTAAAAGATTCAGAGTTGAAACCATTCAAACATATTTGATGCATATTCAAAGCTAAAACCACAGCACCCCCTGAATTGATCTTAAACACCTTCATCTTTAAAAGCCTGCCTGAATAAGAAGGTTTGAGCCTGCTGCTGGATGGACAGCCATTCTGGCTTCCCTGGGCAGGGAGTTCCAGAGTCGTGGAGCAGCCACTGAGAAGAAAGGCCCACTCTCTCATTCCCACCAACTGATCTTGAGATGGAGATGGGATCGAGAGAAGGGCCTCTCCTGAAGATCTCAGGGCCCAGGCAGCTTCGTATAAGGGGATGCAGTCAGCAAAATAGCCTGGACTTCAACCATCTAGGGCTTCAAAGGTCATAATCAGCACTTTGAATTGTGCTCAGTAACAGACTGGCAGCCAGTATTGCTGCTGCAACGGGGGGGGGGGGGGGGGGGGGGGGGGGGTTGTCCGCTCCCTACAGCCAGGCCCAGTGAGCAACCTGGCTGCAGCTCTTTCAACCAGCTGAAGTTTCTGAGAGCACTGTTCAGAGGCAGCCCCATGTAGAGCACATTACAGTAATCTAGACAGGATGTAACTAAGGGATGAACCAGATCTGGCTTCTCAAGGAATGGGTGCAGTTGGCGCACAAATTTTAATTGTGCAAAGACCCTCCTGGCCACTGCCGATACCTGGGCCTCCAGGGTCAATGCTGAATCCAGGAGGACCCCCAAATTGCAGACCTGTGTGACCCCCATCCAGCACAGGATGGATTCCTATTCTCTGATCTGCCTTCTGACTGACCAGGAGCACCTCTGTCTTGTCTGGATTAAGTTTCAATTTGGTTGCACTCGTCCAGTCCATTATTGATGACATACACTGTTTTAAGGTCAGGGTTCTTCATTTAGTAAGTTTCAGACTGTTATACATGAGGTCACAGGTTCCCTATTAGATGTTCCACAGTGGTATGTATGTTCTTCTCCAATGCAACTGTTACAAGTATTTTGATGTTTCATGACAAACAGCTCTTTGTAGCACCAAAACCAATTTGCCTAGTCCAGATTGGGGAAAATGCAGCCCCGGAGCCCCATGAGTCCTTCAAGGTTCTTTTTGTGGCCTTTGACCCTTCCAGATTTCTAGACTGCCATTTTGTTTTGACAAAAAATATAAATGGTGTCTTCAAGAAACCCCCAGTTGCCGCAACCTATCTTTTAAAGAGGGCTCCCAACACTTTTTTAAATGTTTAAAATTGTTCTTCAAATCACAAGTAGACTTCTAGCCACTTCCAGACAAGTCTGCTATGATGGCAAGGAGTGTTTTTGATTTTTCATGTGGCCCTAGAAAGTTCCAGAAACAAAACATTGGCTAGCAGACACTGAATCACAGGGTTGGAAGACACCAGAAGGCCATCCTGACCAACCTCCTGCTGCAGCTGCAAAGATAACTGGCTACAATTCCTAGTTTCCTTGTATGTGTATGTGTATTCCCAGTATATCTAGAGCAGAGCTTTCCAAATTGCATCACAACATATCAGTATTTCAGCTGAAATGTATAGGTGTGCTGCGCGAACGTAATGACAAATCTCTGAGTCTTTGTAAAAGAAACAAGAAATCATATTTTTTATAAGATACTCTGTCATATATTTAATTAATACAACGTACATATGTGTCTGCACCTTTTATAAGGGTATTTTTAAACCTCTGGTTCATTAATAAAACTGGATGACTGTGTCACAAAATGATGCATGTCTAAAAAGTATGTCATCAACACTAAACTTTGGACATCTCTCCTCTAGAGAGTACACCTAGTAATACCAGTATGTCAGTAATTCTCAAAATCAGTGGCAAATGTACTGCCAGTTCTGGTCAGTCATAAGGCTGAACAGGGTATAGGGTTGTAGCCGATGCTGGACAGTTACACTCCCCCTGAAGACACAGGTTTGCAGCTTGGGAGTTTTCCTGGACTCATCGCTGAACCTGGAACTTCAGGTTTCAGCAGTGGCCAGGGAAGCTTTTGCACAATTAAAACTTGTGCACAAGTTGTGCCCGTACCTTGGGAAGTCAGACTTTGCCACAGTGGTCCGTGCGTTTGTTACATCCCAAATAGACAACGCACTCTAAGTGGGGTTGCCTTTGAAGACTGTTCGGAAGCTTCAAGTGGTCCAACGGGCAGCAGCCAGATTCCTCACTGGGGCAGCATACAGGGAGCATACAACCCCCATTACATCAGCTCCACTGACAGCCAGTCTGCTACTAAGCACAATTCAAAGTGCTGGCTTTAGCCTATAAAACCCTAAACTGTTCTGGCCCAGCTTACCTGTCCAAGCGCATCTCACACTATGAACCATTGCAGAAGTTAAGAACTTCTGGGGAGGCTTTGCTCTCGATCACACTTCCTTCGCAGGTGCGGTTGCTGGGGACGAGAGACAGGGCCTTCTCAGTGGTGGCCCCTCAACTATGGAACTCCATGTTTGTAGTATTCAAATACCATTCACAGGAAAAGTAAACGGGGTTTTATCTCTGTGGGGTAGAGTAACGACTAGAACTCAAGATAGTGCAGTGGTTCTCAACCTATGTGTTTTGGGAAAGCAAGAGATGCTTCCCTTTGCACAACACATAAGCAATTCAGAAATTAGAATGTAAATCAAAGTCGATTTCAGTTTACCTTGCATGCCTATAGTAATGGGTAACACAAGACTAGACTTATTATACGAATTTAATATGAAACAGTCCAGCTGTTACATTTTCCATGTCTAAATTAATCTTCCAAATCTGATTATCTACAAAAACTGCAGTGAGAAAAGGAGAACAATTCTAACATAAACATTATGCCCAGGAAAAATAATCCAAGTCTAATATTGTTACTATTAAATAGGAACAGCATGTGGATTATTGCCTTCCAAGGATACATTTTTTAACATTCTGGGAGATGTCATGGTGCAATAATTAGTTTAGCAATTCTAACGTATTTACACATGTCTGCCTTGGCCATCTCTATGGTTTGTAAAACGCTGCAAACTTTAGCTTGTCTGTTTAGAAATAAGAACAGTGTCCAAGAATGTATCTTAATCTTAAGGATTAACTAATTTATTATAGTATGCACCTTTGTGGCCTATAACCTGTGAAATGTTGGTTCTTACTTAAAAACTCATAACTCCAATTTGATGTTCTTAGTATACACAGAGCCTTTTCTGTGGTGTTTTCCAAATCATTGAAGTAGACATAGGCACTCTGTAGACAGAAAAGTTTGCTCACTCTCTATGCATTTTGGATTACTTTATTTTACTGTGTTTCACAGTAAAAATTTGGAATGCCTCGTTGAAATAATTTATAAAGAAAAGTAAGATAAACATTTTGAAATAAATCTCAACTAAATGAAAAATAGTTGAAATTTATATTTATCCAGAGCCTTAGTTTTTCATTGCTGCACTGTGCAGGATTCAATGGAACCTAATAACCTTTGTCTACCTTTGGTTCCCCCAACAGAGTGTTCGTATGCTTGTAGAAAAAGACAAGATATAAGAACAGAAGTCTGTCTTTCATTAAATAACTGCCAACTAGTTCTACTGACAGACTGTTTGATCAGTTCTCCTTCTGGGAAAGAAGCCTATTTAATCCCCCTTGACCCTACAACAGGTACATATTTGAAATTTTGCTTTTTTAATATTCCCAATTCCTCTCTCTCATCTCTTCAGTCGTCTGAGAGCATGCCATTTTTTCCAGGTGGTAGCAGTGATGATGATCCACATTACAGCCCCAAATTACTCTTCCAGTTCTACATTGACTTGAATAAAGAAGTGAATGTATCCCTTATTGTTTTGTAAATGCAGTATTGTATAATTCATCAATGGACTGACCTTGAGGGAGCTGGGGGTGGTGACGGCCGACAGGGAGCTCTGGCGTAGCTGGTCCATGAGGTCACGAAGAGTCGGAGACGACTGAACGAATGAACAACAACATAATTCATCAGTCAGCTCTCTTTACAGTTCATCCCCTCGATGGATACTCACCTTGCCATATTGAGGGGGCCTGAGTGTTACAATGAAATTGCAGGTGTAACCGTAGGAGTCATGTACTCCCAAGGAGAGGCTGTAGAAGAGGATTCAGACCAAGAACAATCTGAAGACCTCAAAGCCGGAACAGGTGGATGGCAATATGGTACATGTTACAATGGCTGTGAAGGCAGAAGAAGGCTGCAACAGATGAGAAGCCACTGTCATCATGTTAACCATGCTACAGGATGGGAACCTTATTCTGAGAAGACTGTGTGTTCATCGGCTGCGCACCAATCTCCACACATAAACTCACACACAGGCCTCTTCCTAGAAAAATAAAACTAAGAAAAGTCCCATGGTGTACAGCGAGTGGCGATGGGGGCAGGACTGAAATCTGGAAGCCCGTACTCACAGATTGGCACATGGGTGGATATGAATTTAGTCATTCTACCTCAAGGTCCAAGGCAGTTAAGTAGTCCAGCAGCTGTATCCATGACTGAGCAGCCCTTTTTTTAGGATCCACTCTGCTCACCCCTCAAAGGAAGGGGACTAGAAAAGATGCCCTAAACATAATTTGCCTCTCTCATCCCTGACTGGACTGCCACATCCAAAGGTGTCACCACCTTGCAGCCAAAAAAGAAAAATGAACTTTGGAACATAGAACTTATAAACATTGTTGAACAATACAGACAGTGAACAGCCTGAACAGAGAACTGCTATTATTTCAAGGGAGCGGGGGCGCTTTAATATTGACATAGCAGCACTTCAGGAGACCGGAAAGCAGGAGAGGGACAGCTGAAGGAAGAAAAAGGGAGGCTACATCTTTTTCTAGAAGGGACTGCCTGAAGAACGAAGAATGCACGGAGATAGCTTTGTTATCAGAAACGACCTGGTGAAGTATCTGTCCAAAGCACCCGTTGGCATTAACAAACAACTCTCAATCCTCCGAATTAACTTTGCCAAAAACCAAAAGACAACTATCATAAGTGCCTATGCAGCAATACTAGATGCTGATGAAGACATCAAGGAAATTTTGTACTGTCAGCTGGACACTATCCTGTTGAAGATATCTAAAGAGGCCAAAATCATCCTCCTGGGTGATTTTAATGCGAGATTTAAATGAGACTTCGACCTGTGGCCAGGGACCATAGGAAAAGATAGGGTGAGAAACAGCCACCTGAATTACATCCTGCTTCTCACCAAATGTGCGGAACACAACCTTGTCATCACAAACACACTCTTCCACCATAAAGACAAACTTAAGACATCATGGAAGCACGCCCAGCCAAAGCACTGGCACCTCTTAGACTATGCAATTATATGTGCCAAAGACCACCACAAGGTGCTGTTCACAAAAGCCATGACAGATGCTGATAACTTCTGGACAAACCACAGGTTAATTTGATCCATGATGTCCATCAAGATCACCCCGAAGACTAGGCCTCTATGAACCCACCTAAGGAACCCACCGTCCTATACTTGGAAAGCAGTAATCTTCAGACACAAGTGATCGCTGATGATGATGGATTTACAATTCAATGTTGACCTGTCCACCAGGACTTCAGCACAGCCTTGCTAGATCAAGAAGATCTTCTAGTTTCTTTATTTGGCATACATAGCTACTACACTTCTATTTCCCGACTTGTTTATGAGAGGAGTACAGTAGCTGTTGGTCAGAGCATAAGCTACACTCTTCTGTATTAAAATTGCAGATTGATGAGTCTCTATTTGGTAATAAAATATGTTAGCTTGATTTTAGTGTGGGACAATATCCAATCCTTAACAGCAAACTTAAAATGAACTCTTTCATTGCTACCCCTAGACCCAAAACCCAAATTTTCAACATGCTTATTTGCCAGTGCAATATATATGATATAGGGTACACAGTAACAAAGTATATACTGGGGAAGGGCTTGAATAGTTAAAAACTAAAGTATGAATTTAAGACACAGAAAAGAAATAGGTCCACACAGAAACAAATTAAGGACTGTTTGCCCCCTCTAAAAGATCACAGCAAGTAACAAATCATTAATTGTGCTAATTTGTCTGAAAAACCCTCTTGAAAATAAATGTCACACAGCACATCTGGAAAAATAATGGTGGCGACATTTATTTGATCAAACATAGTGTATCATAATAGATAAACACAGGAATGTTATAGTGGTCATTTGCCAAGAGTTACTCATAATAACAAGCAATTACCAGAGCCACTGCTATATAGTCCTCAGTTTCATATTGACCTTGAATCCATGTGTCTCTTGCAACATCCCAGACCCATCTGCTGGCAATCTGAAGGAGAGAAAAGCATTAGCCTATCAGCAAAATAAAAACTTTGGAAAAAGAACTCTCAGTCACCTCACACGTATGTTTCATTTGCAGGAAATCTTGTGAAATACTCCCAAGAATACTTCTCAGATATTTTTACAGAACGTTCTGTAAACCCAGAGTTATCATTTCAGGACAATGCAAAGAATCCCATAAGTATAAATTCTGCCAGTAAATCAGGCCAAGATAATTTTAATAGTCCAAACTAATATCAAAATATAATTGCAGACATTTACAGAAATATTATGTTTTGTGATATGGGTCATCCCCCTACAATAGAGGTCACATCTAACTTCAAGAATGCATGTAAATTTTTACTGATAGTTACAAGAGGCAAGGCACACATAACACAGTACAATAGTGTTAGAATTGAGGCAAGCAATGTGGGCCTTTCTGTGTGGCCCCCAGGTCTGCTCAGTGGCCAAAAATATATTACTTTTTATGAGGATGTGGATCTGGCAAATGTGCACACAAAGAAGTATTTTTGTGCTGCAGCATGGGTTATCATCATTTTTACTGCTAGAAATAAAGGAGATTATTTAGGATGTGCTCAAAATTTGCTACCCATCCTTGCTCTTGAATAACCTTTTCCTTTTTAGTAGAATCATCTCAGACATTCTCGATCTGGCAAACCCTCTTTTCAGGAGTCCTGTTTTTACACAACTATAATAGAGCAGAATTGATAGAATATTGATACTCAGTCCTTTATCTAGAAGTAAATCCTATAGTACCATAACACTTCAGTAAAAAATAGAATTACATCCTACCGTTTTCTGAAAGCAGGGTAAGCTAATGTATTTACTCACATGTATCGACTGTCCAGTCTTTTCTACAATAAATACTTGAATTATATATTTGTAGCGATCAAAGTCCAGCTCCTTGACAGCTGCTAATATTTCTCCTGTGAGGTCTGTACATATGGAGGCACCATTGAAACCTTGATATTTGAAATCTTTAAGTTTATTCTATAAAGAATTAAACAGAGTTGCAGGTATTCAAATAAAATCCTAGTCTGAAAATAGCAATATTTTAAAATGATTTTTACAAGGAATCTTTATATGTAAAATCACAGTCTACGTATGTTTATGCTCGCAAAACTCAGAAAGTAGCCAAACGATTGACTTGACATTTTGACACAATGTTGCATTCCAATATGCCCATTTTTTATAGTAAAATGGTATTTGGAAACAATGTTGCATTTTAATACACATGTATATTTAGTGTAAAACTAGCAGCCTGGGAATAGATAATTTTATTTATTTATTCATTTATTTCATTCCTACCCCACCCTTCTCCCCACAAAGGGGAATCTGTGATACCCAAAGTAACCACTCACAGCCTAGCTTTCATTTTACCTCAGCGGTATAAGAAATGAATTTTGAGCTGTGATTGGTTGCTATTGGCATACCACTCATTCCAACCGATATAGCATTTGAGTACTAATGACTTCATTTTCCAATACATCTTGCATTCGCTATGATTATCAATAAAGCGAAGGGGAAATCTTTGCAAGTGGGCAGCATGAACTTATACATTGCATGCTCCAGAGCCAGTAAACCATCAGATATTTATGTTTATGCAGAAAACAGACAAACCCAAAATGTAGTCAATCCAATAGCGTAACAATAAAAAATTATTACTGTTAAAAACCTCATTTCCTTTCCTTTCATTCCACATAGACACAGCGATGCTGGGTATTATCATAGAATCAAAGAGTTGGAAGAGACCTCATGGGCCATCCAGTCCAACCCCCTGCCAAGAAGCAGGAATATTGCATTCAAATCATGAATTGAATGATGTGTTTTCTCGGTGAATCTATGTTCTCAGCAACTATTTTGTTTACTATCTCATTCATTTCATATCATACTGAGCCACAGCAAAGCTTGGTCAGGTTTAGCTAGTTACTTTAATAAAGCTGTTTTCAAATAATTGCGGAATATATACGAAATGGCTACGGCCCATTAAACTGTCTAATCCGAAGTCCATCCAGCTCAGGCTACATTGACAATGTTCTTTCCAGGCTTGACTCTGGGATCTTCTCCAGGAACAGTGAACCCTTGGTATTTGCTGGGGTTTGGTTCCTGGTCCCCATGGATAGCAGAATCTATGGGTCATAGAACTGATTTATGATGCCATAAAATCCTTCCAGCAGTGTGCTGAAGAATGAGGAAGTACTCCATCAAAGGATTCGGTGTCACAATGGACGGTGAAGCGGCATCTCCCCCTGTGGCCGGAATCGAGTCAGAATCTAGCATACCCTCATGAAAGCCGGAAAAAGCTTGGGCTCAGCTGGAATGTTAAAATTGTTTCTGCATTTGTCTATATATGTTGTATTTCTAACTTGCATTGAATGTTTGCCATGTATATGTGCATTGTAATCCGTCCTGAGTCCCCTGCAGGGTGAGAAGGGCAGAATATAAATACTGTAACTACATAAATGAATAGAATCATTGAGTTAGAAGAGACAACATGGGTCATCTAATACAATTCCCTGCCATGCAGAAGAAAAGGCTGAGAGGAGACATGATGGCCATGTACAAATATGTGAGAGGGAATCATAGGGAGGAGGGAGCAGGCTTGTTTTTTGCTGCTCTGGAGACTAGGACACAGAACAATGGCTTCAAACTACAACAAAGAAGATTACATCTGAACATTAGGAAAAACTTCCTGACTGTGAGAACTGTTCAGCAGTGGAACTCTGTCCTGGAGTGTGGTGTAGATTCCTTCTTTGGAGGCTTTTAAACAGAGGATGGATGGTCATATATCAGGGGTGCTTTGAATGCAATTTTCCTGCTTCTTGACAGGGGGTTGGATTGGATGGCACATGAGGTCTCTTCCAACTCTATTCTATGCAGGAAAAGCACATCAAATGGCCACCCAGCCTGCATTTAAAAGCCTTCAAAGAAGGAGCATCCACATAAGTCCCGTTGTATACAATGGTATATAATATGGCAAACGACTCAAATAATTGCGGAAAAGAGCCTAAGGGTCCATTAAATTGCAAGAAGTTTCAACTGATTTGGCTTATACATCACAAAATCATAGAGGTACATGGAACTCCAGTAAATAATTCTAAAGATATCATGATATAAAAAGTGTTTAGGAGCAGCATAGCCATTCATACATTACCTTCATGATCTCTTCCACTTTCTTCCTTGCTACATGCGCCTCACATTTCCTGTAAGGTTCCATTCTGTAGGTGTTGGCATACCGTGGTCTTGCAAAACTAGTCTTGAGTGCCAAAAGCTCATTTCTTGTCAAATCTGTAATGGATTCCTCATCTCCTGGCTCACTTCCTGTAACATCATGACTCGACGTTCGGCGTCTGACCGCCTGTGATGAATACAATCATAGAATAATAGAGTTAAAAGAGACCACTTGGGCCATCTAGTCCAACCCACTGCCATGCAGGAAAAGCACAATCAAAGCACCTCCAACAGATGGCAATCTGGCCTCTGTTTAAAAGCCTCCAAGGAAGGAGCTTCCACCACAAAATTAGTCAGAGAGTTCCACTGTTGAACAGCTTTCAATCAGGATTTTTTTCCCTAATGTTCAAGTGGAAATCTCCTTTTCTGTAATTTGAACCCATTGCTCCAAGTCCTAGTTTCAAGGACAGCAGAAAACAAGTCTGCCGTGCCCCAACGTATTTTTTTAATCCTACATCACAATTAACCTATACATATTTTAAACTGCTAATATCTGTTCAAATAATCATGCAACATTACTTGATATTCCATGTTGGAAACCATGCTAAATTATTGGCAAGTTATCTCGTTTCCTTAAACATGGTTAAAGAGTACATTCATTGCTGGAGTTCCACCCAGTCATCTACTCTGTAGACTAAACGTGGTTTGATACCACTTTAATCACCATGGCTCAATGCTGGAATCCTGGGAGCTTCAGTTTCGCAAGGCCTTTGGCCTTCTCACCAAACTACAGATCCTATGATTCCACAGCACTGTGCTACAGCAATGGAAGTGGTGTCAAACTGCATTACATCTACAGTGCAGGTGCACCATAGATGCTTCTCAAACTCATACTCTGCTATTGGGTGGTAAAAAAATTCCCTGGCTTCTCTTTGAATGAGCTCTTTCCCCAAAGTTGCAATCTAGACCTCAAAGGCTCTAAATGAAATCATTTTTACTGAGCTAATCCTATACAGAAATGGAAGTGCCCAGTTCTATACAACAGAAGGCCTGCTGTGTCAGCTCCACTGGCTGCCAGTTTGCTACCAAGCACAATTCAAAGTGCTGGCTTTAGCCTATAAAGCCCAGCTTACCTGCTCAACTGTATCTCCTCCTTTGAACCATCTAGGAGCTTAAGATCATCTGGGGAGGCCCTGCTCTCGATCCCGCCTGCTTCGCAAGTGCGATTGGCAGAGATGAAGGACAGGGCCTTCTCAATGGTGGCCCCCCGGCTATGGAACTCCCTCCCCAGGGATATTAGACTGGCCCCCTCCCTCCTGACTTTCTGAAAAAAAGTAAAGACCAGGGTCTTTGAGCAAGCTTTTGAGAATGCTGCGGAATAGATAACACAGAACTATGAATGATGAACATGGAATGGCCTGACAATATTACTGGATAACGTTTTTAACAGGATGATTATATGCTTTAAGGGTTTCTTTATGTTTTATATTGTAATGTTTTTAATGGCATTTTTATGAATACCTGCCAATCTGTAGCCTGCCTTGAGTCGGCCGTATGGCTGAGAAAGGCAGGCTATAAACATCGTAAATAAATTAAACTCAATGAGGTTGTCCATTTATGATTGCTTTTGCAAGTGTTTCCCAGAGCAGATCCGCACTCCAGAATGAATGCAGTCCGACAATATTTTAGCAAACATGACTCAATGCTATGGAATCCTGTAGTTGCCAATGAATGCTGGAGCCTGACAAAACTACAACCCCCACAATCCCATAGCATTGAGCCATAGTAGTTAAAGTGGTGTCAAACTGCATTCATTCTACAACCAGAATCCCTGACCATTTCCCATAGCATCTGGGAACATCTTGAAGGAGTGTTTGGGAATCACGACAGAATGGAATCCCTTAGAGACGCAAGGCTTCCACGTTCTCAACATGCCACAGCGCCTACTTCTGGCTTCTCTTGTATCTGAGCCACTCAAGGCTTTGTACACAGGCGCATGCGCACCAGACGACTGCACGCATGCGCAGTGATACATATTCGCTCTCAACAACCAACAGCGTCTACTACTGGCTTCTCGTGTCAGTATGTTTACYCCCCCCCCCCCCGGCGCATGCGCACCTACAACCCCAAGCCTTAACACAGACCCGGAAAGCCGCGTCTTTGTCAAAAACGCTATGCTTCCTCCCCGCAGCCAAGGGGCCTGCCGCTTTTTTGAGTTTATCCATCTTGGACCCGTGACTCGGCAACGCGCTTCCGCAAGAAGAACTCCCGCCTTAATCGCGGAAAACTCCCGACTAACGGCCGCCCCTGGAGTGCTGGGCCTGAGGCAGGAGGACGCCCCGCCCCCTCATGACGTCACCAAGGAATCCGGAAGAAAAGGAAGTAAGCGCGTGCATCTGCCAGGATTCCAAAGCATGGAGTCTCAAGTGCACATGAGTTACGAGCCGTCATGTCATTAATCAGCAAGGCTGCCTTAGAAAGTTCAGGTCTTGGTCAGGAACAGCTAACTGCTTTCCTTAGTCTTTGGACTTTTATAGTAGATTTTCTATGTGATCATTCCAGGGATTCTTAGCCTTAAAAAAGAAAAACATGGAGCCATCTGAAAATCTGATCAAAGCTAGAGGACTCTACCCCACCCAAAATACACATTAATAAGTTCATACAGAAACATTTGCATAAAATTGATATTAAAGACAGATTTCCTTTGCATTCACTAGTCAATTCCATCTTAAAAATATCAACAGGCAAATATATGAGAGCTGGCATTGCCCGAGTGCCAAGAGGGACCACTGACCCCAGGTTTTATCCTTCACTGGCTGTACCCGCCACGCATTGCTGTGGCCAACCTTCCCTCCCTCTTTCTCTCATTCCTTCCCTCATTCCTTCCTTTCCTCTTTTTATTTCTCTATTTCTCTTCTTTCTTCCATCTCTACCTGTTTCTTTCCTCCCTTTCTTTGCTCTTTGGTTACATCCTTCCTTCCCTATCTTTTGTTCCTTCTCTCCTTCCTTCCCTCTCTTTTTCCTTTCACTTTTTTTATTTCCTTCTCTCCTTCCTTGCTTCTCTACCTTTCTTTCTTTCCTTCTTTCCCTCCCTCCTTGTCTCCTTCCTTCCTCCTTTCCCTCCTTCATTCCTTCCCTCTTTCTCTCGTTACTTCTTGACTGTCCCTTCCATTTAATATTGTATTTATATCTTACATAGAAAGAAGGAAAAGAAGAAGGAAGCAAGGAGGGACAGGAAGGAAGGAAAAAGGAAAGGAAGGAAGGAAGGAAAAGAAAGAAGGAGGGAGAGGAAGAAGGAAGAAATGAGGGAAAGGAAGGAGGGGAATGAAGAAAGGGGGAAGGAAATGAAGAAAGGGAAAAAAGGAGGAAAGAAGTGTCATTACAGAGGACCACTTAACCTAGCAAGAACCTTTGTGGGACAAGCAGACTGGCATTCTTTGGTTTTTCCATATCTAGATTTATCAAAAGCCATAGTCAACTCCTGTCAAACTACGGAGGTCCAAAAAAATGTTTCAATTCATATTGAATAATTTTTAAACAATGTAAACTTGGTTGTTTATTTTTTTTTTTTACATGATGCCAAAAACAAGCTACAAGCAAAAGAAGAGAGAGATGATAATGCTGTGGAGAAAATCACATCTCCAGATAATCAAAATGGCAGCACAGGACTTTGAGTTTTTTCTGTTTTCTTTTGATTGGTAATAAAAAATGTGTAGTTTTATCCATCCAAAATGTTTTTAAATGTGTTTTTATATTCGATGGTACACATTGTTGGGGCTATTTGTCAAGACTCATTATGGGGTACAGTAGTTACATTTATTCCAGACTGTATTTTTCTTTCTTTTCTTTGTTATTTTTCTGTTTGTTCCAGATGTTTCTCATTGAGCCAGTCTCTACTTGCCTTTCCGCTACTGTTCACTATATGGTTTGTGAAGCTGGCTTTGAAATAAAAGAGAACCATGTCATTAATAGCATTTTACCTGACAGCGGTGAGATATGTTGGAGAGCAATCACAGAACACATACAATATGCAGACTCAGGTGTGTATTTGTTCCAAATGGCCCGTGTTTGGTTTGATAAGGCTGCAGTTCTAGGGATCACTTTCCTTGTAAATCCTATAGAACACAGTGGGGCTTCTGATTTTAAACGTGGAAGGTTGCATTGGAAAACCCATAAATGAACAGGAATCTGATTTGAACAGTAGCTTTTGTCTATTACAGTAGAATTAATATGAGCATGATCTGCAGATGCAAAGTGTGATGCTTTTACACAGACATTTCAGAACAAAAAATAATACAGCACCTATTTTGGAGCATAATAATTATTGGGTGAATAACTTGCAGCTACAGAGCTCCTTGTAGAACCCAGGCTAATTTTAGAAGACTTTAGCAAATGGTCACTTTCGACTTTAGCAAGTTGTCCTTTTCTTGGCCAAAAAAAATGATTGGGAGGGTAGGAAGAGAACGGGGTTATTCAGCCATTTGGGGTCCTCGTTCTACATATAGCTTGTTCAGCCTTCCCAGTGGAAGCTTGTTTCCTGCTGCTCTAGAGACTAGGACACATAGCAAATGATTCAAATTGCAGGAAAAGAGATTCCACCAAAACATTAGGAAGAACTTCCTGATGTAAGAGTAGTTTGACAGTGGAATATGCTGCCTGGGAGTGTGATGAAGTCTCCTTCTCTGAAGGTTTTTAAGCAGAGGCTGGATGGCCATCTGTCAGAAGTGCTTTGACTGAGAGTTCCTGCATTTCAGGATGGACTTGTACTGGATGGATCTTGCGGTCTCTTCCAGCTTTATTATTCAGTGTCCCCCACATAGCCCCTAACAAATTCCTCATGAGACAACCCAGAATAGAAAGTAATTGCCCATGGGAAAAGATAGAAAGGAATATTATAGGGTATGAACTAGGAATGGACAAATGCGTTGTCTGGAAACTGACTTTCATAAAATATGTTAATGCATTGTTAACATTGAGCATTGAACAAGGAATTATATCCTAGGAATCAGTTGTGCCACATTTTTATTAATGTCAGTGCTCTAGCACAAGCACGGTCAAATTTTGGCCCTCCAGTTGTTTTGGACTTCAACTCCCACAGTTCCTAACAGCTGGTAAGCTGGCTGGGATTTCTGGGAGTTGAAATCCAAAATACCCGGAGGGCTGAAATTTGCCCATGTCTGCTCTAGCAGAACTAGAAAGAGTATTAACTCCAATTACTATTGCCATCGATTTAGAACAATTAATATGATACAGTCAGCCCTCAGTATCCACAAATTCTTTATCCACAAATTCAACCATCCATAGCTTGAAAATATTCACACACAGAAAAGTTGAAAAAACAGACCTTGATTTTGTTATTTTATATAAGGGATGCCATTTTACTACATAGTTGTATATAATGGGACTTGCTCACTCAGTCCTGGAGTCAAACCCCAGTGGATACTAAATATTGTAGACAGAAATTGCTTAAATTTCCTCATGCGGATGGGTTCTAAGTCACATATCAAAGGCAAGGCAAGATGTCCTTTTTCTGCAGCCCTTTTTGGATTAAAAAAGTAAAAAAGCATCCTGTTTATAATCATTTGTGACCTAGGAGAGAGGTAAAAATATCCTAATCCATTCCAGAAATTCTAACGAAACATCATTTTTTTCATGCCACAGAAATAAAACATCTGTTATCCAATATTGCGAGTATTATCCAATATTATCCAGTATTTAAAATCAACATTCAGGAGAGTTTGGTATATAATTCTCACAACCAAGGTGATCTTTTCATGGTTTAGTAATATAGACAGAAAAGTCTAAGAACTAATGTGTCTCAATGTAAGCACATTATAGCATTAAATTGGAAAATCATCAGGCACTAGAGTATTTCAGTTTCCTATAGATGCAATAACTGCTTTAATCAATTTCATATGTAAGAGGGCTATCAAAGATTCTTCATTGAGGAAGAATTAAATCTGATAAGAAGTCTCAGTCTAGATCTGGTACATGTTTGCTTTGTAGAATATGGTGTAATTCATGCCTTGCTTGACAACACCCTGTCATCTTGTCTTTAAGGTCAAACTTTGGATTACACAAACAGTGTGAGGTCTTTAGGTCCCATATGTGAATGTGTTCACTTGCATTTACAATCCCTTACCATAGAACAATTGGAAGACCGGTTTATGTTATGGTTCCAGTGGACAAACTGCTCAGAGGTAGGAAAAGATATTTAATCTGAACAGAAAATGGTGTGGTACTCAATGATTCTTCAGAAGTGTTTTGTAATTCCATTATTGTATATTGTGCTTTGTATGTGATAACATGTCAGAAACCTGAGACAAACAGGAGGGAAAGAAATGGAAGATAGCAAGGGGTAGGATCTGAATCCAATATACTCACTATAGAGCTTTTAATAGAAATCTACCAGTTTGAATACAGCAATGTATGCATGTTGTTGAAGGCTGTAAGTGGCTGCATACATGCAACTAGAGTAAAGAGTGACTGTAGTGGGGTAACATGAGCATCTTCTACACAAACATATTTCAATACAACAGCTTTTGAGAAGACAGTAGTACATCTCTGCCTTTCCACGATTTAATGGTTCCCAAATATGTGAAAGCTGGAGTTGATACTTTATTCATACATCCAGAAGGATTTTTAGTGTATAAATATTATTTTCTATTTGCATTGCTCTTTTCAATCCACTAGGTGGGTAGGGAAACTCGGCTGAAGGCCAGGAGCATACCCTGACCCGGCTTCAAACTATCAACCTTTTGGTTGGCAAGATTTACTGCAGCTGGTAATTAACCTGCTGTGCTAAAGCCATCCCATCTCGCTGTGTGAATCTGCCCAGACACCAATTCTGGCCCTTCTTTCAGTCCCACCTCCATTGCAAGCTCAGTCAATGGGAACAAGAGAGCTCGCCATCTCTCTTGATGGCTGCTCCTCGACTCTGGAACTCTTCTTCCTGGGGAAGCTAGAAGGCCTCCTCCCTGTTTTCTTTCTAGCAGCAGGCTAAAACCTTTAATGCAGGCTTTTAAAAAAAGATTTTTTTAAAGATCAAGTCAAGGGGTGCTGTAGTTTTAGCCATGAATAGGCTTGTAATTGGTTTTAAGGATTTTACCTGTTTATTTTTTAATACTGTTCATGTTTAATTCTGTTTTAATTTCTGTATGTTTTTTGAGTTTCAAATTGTATTGTATTTTTTATTGTAAGCTGATTTGAGTCTCTTTTTTGTAGAAGAAAAGGGGGGTATAAATAATAATAATATTGTTTAGTGTTAAACTGTAGGACTAATTGGTCTTTCGATCCATTTTGGTTTAGTAATTCATAAGGTAGCAAGTACAGAAGGGCTGATAAAGCTGTGTTCCAAACACTTCTGCAAACTGCCAAAGTATTTCATTATAAACAAAATGGTGATAGTCTTGCGTGGACAATGTGACAAGAGGAGACAGCTGATAAAGAGAGAAAAAGTTTTCTCTGTTGCCTTTTCAATTATATGATGCAACGACTGGAAATATATATAGATAAAATAATTACCTGGAGTATTCTTTATGAAACGGGAATGCTCATTTTGTTCATAGTAAATAAAATGGTAGTTCAAGAGTATTGGGAGGGGGTTCCACCCAAAATATACTTGAAGTTTGACTGTTCTGCTATCTTATTACAAATGCTCTAGGAAAAAGTGATAAATTATTACTCTTGATGTTCCAAATGGCAGATATTTCTTGAAATGCTTCATACCATAAAGGATCCAGATGCTACAGCCATTGCCCTGAGCTTAATGAAGCTAACATCATGCTTGGAGCGAGCCTTGGGTGATGTAAGTGCCAAAATATTAGACACTGCCAAGCTTTAGGTTAATAAGGTCTTTTTTGAACTACAAAACCAGTATTTCACTTCCTCGTTTAACAATCAGAAGGTTGTATGTTGAATATAATTAGCAGCTGATTCTCTCCTTTGGACAATATGAGGGTTTTGTGTTGCATGTTTTTAGGCAGAAACATTGGCCAAATCTTAATACTTTGATGTCTACATCTTAGGCAAATGATAAAGTTACAGTTATAAATCTGTTTCATTACTCCTTACCTGAAGAAGAGGATTCAACTTAAGTCATTAAACCTTCCAGTGGATTGTCTTCCTTATTTGCCTTTATTTCAAATTATACTTTAAAATCAAGAAAATGTTTTGAAGAACGTCATTTATTTTGTTGAAAGTTATGAGAAGTTAATAAAATGTTAATTCCTAGGTAGTCATTAAAAGACATTCTTATTCATTCCTAGGTATTCTTATTAATAGGGAAAGAATGTCCTTTTCTTCTGAGAGATTTGCTTGCATCTCAGGAACTTGCTACAGTCTTTGGGCAGTCAGTGGTGAGTGTGGGATTTTTAAAACACATAAGTAATTATATATAAGTATTTTACTTTCATGGGTTTTAAATCAGTTTCTTGAAACAAATTGGTTGGCAAGGAGTGCAAAAACGACCAGTTGTTGCTCATCTTCAATGCATGGTTTAGGAGTCGTAGGTACTATTTGTGTGTATTTATGTCTGTAGGTAGCTGTGTTTTCTAACCTGTTCCTCTGACGCTATGCCAGAGTTTCAGTACATTTAGAGCTTAGGTAACCGTTTCGTGCACATAGGATTGTACATTTTGATTGAGTAGAATCCAGAGTGGCTTGGGTTTTACAACTCTTGCCAAACAAAAAGGTTTTTCTAGGAAAGGGATATAGGTGGCTAGTATTCTTTACAGCCTCTGTCTTCCAGTATGTGACACTGATACTATGTCAGTGCTTAAATGGTTACTGACATCATTGTCCTTTATCCAAACTAGATGGATGTTCTGAGAGTATTCATTGGATCTCCAGATGGTCTAAATCTCCGCAATATTTTGTGGCATGGGTTTGCATCACCACAAGAAATCCCTGTAAAGTAAGTTCCACAAACTAAATTAATTGCACTTTAGTATCTTTGTTTGTATTTTCATTGCTGGAAATGATAGTAACAGGACCACAGTTAGACCAGCTCAAAGTTGCTGCATAAATTTGCAAAGGGCTAGAGCACTTTTATCTTCATTAATGGGCAAACAGCCTTTATCAGTAACCCACCTTCCTGAATACCTTCCTTCATCCCTGTTTTTCATATTTCATGTTGGTTTTCTCTTCAGTTGAAATAGTTTTCAACTGTGGATTTGATTTGTCACCTAGTGTAATTTATTAGAAAGAAGAGTGATGGAAGGACAATCAAATATAGGAAAACAACTTGTTGAAAACTTTAAAAAGGTTTACATAGTAAACGTATTTCTGCCTGTACAACTTTTCTGACCTTAGGGAAAAGATATTTGAATCATATATATCTTGCAAAACTTTTTGCTGAAATGATACAAGTATGGACGCTTTTCGAACCTCAAAAAAAAAAAAACTATTCCCCAAATGAGATACCACTGTAGATATTAAGTACCTCTACCAGTGATATGCAAAAGACGATTTTTCCACTAGACCTCAGCTCTTTGGCAGTCACTTATAGAGAAAGGCACTCCCTCAAGAATTGATATAATCACTATTCAAACCAGAAGTATATTGGCAACCAGTGTGAATCATTTAAAACCATTGTTATGTGTGTTTCTTAGGAGTGTTCCATCAGTCAGTAGGTACATTTAGCATATTTGTTCCTGAGTCTTTCTCAGGTGCAGCCCCATGTAGAGTCCCTAGTTGCAGTCTAATTGGAAAGTTGACAGTGTATGAACTCAAGTGGCTAAATTATTATGTACCTCCTGTACCTATGGTGATCTTTTAATACTCTTGTCTCTCAGATTTGACTGTTTCTAACTTTATCGCATGCCATATTTCTCCCCTAGATATTTCTATATGCTGCTTTTTTTAACAGCAGGATTGGGACAATTGTTAAGAAATTACCTTCTGCAAAGTCTAACTACTTTAGTTCATCGACCATATGTTATTTTTACTGGCTTAGAAGAGTTGCATATTTTTCCAGGTAAGCAATATTATATATCACCTGTTCTAATGATTTGGCACAACTCATGGTGGTCCTTAAAGATTTTCTGTTTGTCTTTTTTAAATTTGCCCAAGTCTGGAAACTGTAATATTCTTGCAAAACTAAGTCTCTGTGAATGAATCATGTTTAGTAGGTCAACAGTAATCAGCTGTAGGAAAAGAGATGGCATGTATCTGATACTGTTGTCTGTACATATTACAGGTGTTTGTTTAAGAGCAAAGAATAGCATACAATTTTAAGAGATCTTACCAACTTTCATATATGACTTTATGCATATATACATTATACATAAATCTCAGTTTGCCTTTAGTATATGTTCAGTAAAGAGCTCAAGCCATAAAAAATCCCAAATACACAGCACATGTTAATTTGCACACTTTCGACATCTCATATGTATTCCTCCTTTAGGAAGCAAATAAAAACTTCCCAATGTACTCAGGCATATGAAGATGTGAATGTTTAAAGATCCATCATTATGAAATAAGGAATGGAATTTGGACATGGCTTTTAACCTGTTTTTAATCTTGCTTTTATTAATATTGTATAACTTGTCATTCTTGTTTTTATGTGATTTGGTTTTGTTGTTGTTTTGGTCAAATTTTCTGTACTGTATATTTGAATTGTTTAGTTTATTGTTGTATTTTGCAGCACTGAATGTTTGCCTTTTATGTTGTAAGCTGCCCTGAGTCCCCACAGGAAGATAGGATAAAAATAAAGTTTGTCTTACTTACTTACTTACTTACTAAGATAGTAGTCTTTACCTTCCTTATGCTTTTTAATAAATATATTATACCATTATTGCCCTTAAAAGTAAGGTGTGGTGGGTAGTCTTAATGTTTACAAATTGTTTCTAAGCTCTGGAAACATTTTACTCCAGTTTGTATTCCTATTCCTTTTTTCTGTTTTCCAGATGTTAATCAAGAATTGTTGTCATTGGCAGAAGAATTGGTCATGAAATCAAGTATTGTGTTGAGAAGCATGGTTCCTTTTTGGGTTACTGCCTTGACATCATTTAGACAATCCAGGTAACAATAGTCCTAGTCTTATTTTTAACTTATTAATGACTTAAGGCTTAGACTTATTTTTTAAGCAGATATCACATTTATATTACTCGATTGTCACCAAGGCTACAATCTCTCCTTTTCAGGGCCCGTTTTTCTGTTTGTCATAAATTACGATGCTGGTAGTCATATATTATATATAAGAGCTTATTATTCAAGGAATTAGAGAAGTCACACTTTTTCAGTAAATAGATTGTTACAAAGACAGACAACTCAATGTACTTTGAAAGTTCTCTATTTATTTACCCTATTTATTCCTCGCTTTTCTCTACCCCAAAGGGGACTCAAGGCGGCTTACATATAGGCAATTATTCAATGCATTAGAACATATTGGAATAGACACACTCTTTAGATTGTTGGGTTAACTTGGATTTCTCCATAGATTTAGGAATGTAGAATTAAATAACGTTTACTTCCAGTTTCTAACTTCAGAGCAGTTGCAAAGCATAACACTTTATTCAGTTGAAGGAACTGCTAGGCCAGGCCTATGTATATTTATTTAGAAGTAACCCCTGCTGACCCTAGCCAAATGGGTGCTCTCTAGATGTGTTCAGCTTGGCACTGTAAACTCCATCATACCCAGCTACTATAGTCCTCCTTATTCGGATTTATGAAAATTGTGATCCAACATTTCTTGAGGGCACTAAGTTGGACACTGTCCTGTTGGATTCAGTGTGTCTTTCTTCTAGCTGAGTGTGCACAGAAGTGCAGCTTGAATTGTTTGCAAGAGTAACTGAGACCTGCTATTGCAGCAGAAGGCCTTATACATCAATAAAGGGGTAAGCATGTGTAAATGTTGACATTAAACCGTCCCCTTTCCCACTGCATGTGGTTTCTGACAATTGTTTAAAAGAAATATGACCCATACAACATGCTGCAGAGATTAAGTACAGTCCTTGATAGACAATACATTAGTATATTATGTTTGGAAAAAGCAAACATTTTTGTGAAAGAAGAAATTAAAAAAAATCACTCTAGCATTTTATTTCTTTAAGGTTTGCCGACTGTGTCATATTGTTACTTCCTCAGCTGGAAAGTGGACTCCGATTGCTTTTCACAACTGTTAATAAATGTCCAAGCAGATTAATGACAGCTGAGGTATTTATTGTTGACCATTTACTTCTTTTGACTTCTTCTGCTCTGTCTTTAGCTAATATCAAATAACAGTCCAATTCAGATGTATATTATCTGGTTCGCTAAAACACAATATAGCTAGCAGAAGTGAGTTCAGAAACATGCTTCACAGTGCTGTTCCTTCTTAGTTAAAATATTACAGAGTTACACAGCATTTCTTTAAGTGATAACAGGATCGGTGTCTCAGGCTTAACCACGAGTGTCATTGTAATTGGGGTGTGGTGTCTAGTGCTGAGACTATTATATAGGTTGTAGTAACCCTGTATTTGATGAGGATTGGAGAGAGAGAGATTGTATATATTATATACTATGCTTATACTTCTGTTGCAACTAAAGTAAAAAACCTTCCTTTTGGAAAGAACTATTTGGTTTGCATGTTCTTGTTCCTGGAGAAGACCACCACAGCTATCTGAAGATGTCTGGCTCCTTAACTGGAACTAATAGAGTCCTTTCCACTCTGACAGGGAATTTTATGACTGCATAGAACTCCTAACACTTACCATCCAAAACATGGTATTTTTGGTTAAATGTGCATTTTTTGTGTGATGGAACCAATTGTGCTGTCTACAATAATTGTTGGGGATGTAAAATATTCAGTGTAGCTTTCCCACTTCACTGTAGTGTTTCCATAATATTTGCTGGTTAAAAGTTAAATTTAAATTTGAATGCACAATGACTTTACAATCCACTAGTCAATAAAATTTCAGTGTGATTTTCCTCTGGAAATAAACTGTTCCATTACTAATGCCTGTTTTTTGTGTTTCTAGTCATCTTCTTTATATACAACTTTTGATGAGGTAAGTTAATTATGTGATTCTTCAACATACAATAATTGGACATTAAAAAAATAAAATTGAGATGCAAAGAAAAACAAATGGAGTTTGTCTTTGAAAATATAAATATGTTTCTGTTTTAACTCCTTATCTGGGCTCATGTTGAAGCAAAATAGAAATATTTTAGCAGGGGGCAGGATCATTCTATCTAACCCAGTGGTTCCCAACCTGTTTAGTCCCCGTAGTAGTAGTAGTTATTATTATTATTAGCTCCCAGAGTTGTAATGGGAAATCAGCCCTTTGTAGGATCCTGTTTAATCCCCCAAAGTACTGGATGTTAGGTCTCAAAAACCAGTACTAGAGAACTCCTTTTCTACCTCTTGACCTGTGGGATTTCGTATGATTCAGCCATGTTCCTTGTTTGTGATCAAACAAAGTTAATTAATATAAATTAACCCATTTATAGTTGCCAGGAAAGCCAATCTCATATCAATTGTACCGGACTAGATAGAATATAGTCTTCTTCAGAACATAATTATACCACTTCATGCTAATAACAGCAAAAAGGTGTAGCCAAGGAAGAAGTGGAAGAGTTTTAGGGGTGTGTAGGCAGAGCCTAACAGCTGTTTCTGATTTTATTTAGGTATGATACTACTTTAGGAATTCAGTTACAAGCTTCTGCTTAGTCTGTATTTTAACTCCAGAACATTATGTCTTTCAGTATCTGGCATTTCTTATTTTTCCTATGTAGATGTTGTCAAAACAATTAAACAGTGAAGAAACCAATCAACTTCCTCTACTACTTGGTGAACCGACAATGGTAAGGGGAATGGATTTTGCTTCTTTGAACTGCAGCTTGAATTTGATAGCTTTGTAAGGGTTCAATCTTATATTAACTTTATTTGTACCCCGCTAGCATCTCCCGCAGGACTCGATGCGGCTTACACAGGCTGAAGCCTCAAAACACAATACAATAAAACATAATACAATAATAAGCAAAGCAAATCAGACAATTAAGCAAAATAACAACAATAACTACATCAAGACACTAATTAAAACTGGTTCGGCCGGCGCAATGGGGTACAGGGGTTAAAGTGCTGAAATGGCAGGAGGAACGTAGGATTAGAGGTGTGGTGTGCAGTAACATCGGTTGTGCTAAAGTGCTTCTAGGACTTGGGATGGGGGATTCCTAATCTGAGAAGGCACATCGGAACAGCCAAGTTTTTAGGTTCCTTCTGAAAACTGCTAAGGTAGGGGCCTGTCGAAGATCTTTTGGAAGGGCATTCCAGAGTCAGGGGGCCGCCACAGAAGGCCCTGTCCCGTGTCCCCACCAAGCGCGCTTGCGACGCAGGCGGGATCACGAGCAGGGCCTCTCCAGATGACCGAAGTGAGCGTGTGGGTTCGTAGATGGAAATGCGGTCACGCAGGTAGGCTGGTCCCAAACCGTTCAGTGCTTTGTAGGTAAGCACCTGCACCTTAAATTGGGCTCGGAATATAAACAGCAGCCAGTGGAGTTCCTTAAACAGGAGGGTTGACCTCTCTCTGTAAGGGGCCCCAGTTAGCATCCTGGCTGCTGATCGTTGGACCAGTTGGAACTTCCGAGCCGTCTTCAAGGGCAGCCCCACGTAGAGCGCATTGCAGTAATCCATTCTAGAGGTGACCAAGGCGTGGACCACCCCGGCCAGATCTGCCTTCACGAGGTACGGTCGCAGCTGGCGCACAAGTCTCAATTGTGCAAAGGCCCTCCCGGATACCGCCGACACCTGAGCCTCAAGTGTGAGCGAGGAATCCAGGAGGACGCCCAAACTGCGGACCTGTGGCTTCAGGGGGAGTGTAACCCCGTCCAACACAGGTTGCCACCCTATACCCCGATCCGGTTTACGATCGACCAGGAGGACCTCTGTCTTGTCGGGATTGATCTTCAGCTTGTTCCTCCTCATCCAGATCGACACAGCGGCCAGGCACTCGTCCAGCACCCGAGAGGCCTCCTTGGAATTAGGTGGAAAAGAGTAGTAGAGTTGTGCGTCATCCGCATAAAGATGGCACCCAACTCCAAAACTCCGGATGACCTCTCCCAGCGGTTTCATGTAGATGTTGAAAGCATGGGCGACAATAGAGCCTTGCGGGACCCCACAGGTCAAAGGCCAGGGGTCAGAGCAGCCGTCTCCCAGCTTCACCATCTGGGTTCGTCCCTCCAGGAAGGACTGGAGCCACGACAAAACCGCGCCCCCAAGGCCCATCCCAGAGAAACGACCCAGAAGGATACCATGATCGATGGTATCGAAAGCCGCTGAGATGTCCAAGAGAACCAGCAGAGTCACATTCCCCCTGTCCAGCTCTCTGCGGAGGTCATTCACCAAGGCGACCAAGGCTGTCTCGGTGCCATGACCAGGCCTGAAACCAGACTGTGACTGATCTAGGTAGTTGGTATCGTCTAAGAAGCTCTGGAGCTGGGAGGCGACCACCCGCTCCAGCACCTTACCCAGAAAAGGGAGGTTGGAGATTGGCCTGTAATTACTCAGCACCGTGGAGTCAAGGGAAGCTTTTTTGAGGAGTGGACGAACCACAGCCTGTTTCAGATTGGATGGAAAAATCCCTTGCTCCAACGATGCATTGACAATCAACACAAACCAATCAACCAACCCCTCCCTGGCTGATTTAATGAGCCAAGATGGGCATGGGTCTAGAGGTGAGGTGGTCGCCCTCACAGCCCCAAGAACCTCCTCTACGGTTTCAGGAAGAACAAGCCTAAAAGAATCCCACAAAGATGGACAAGCAGGTGCCTCCGTCACCTCCTCTGGCACTGCGATGGAATTGGAGTCGAGCTCGAGGCGTATCTGAGCGACTTTACCTGCAAAATGGTGTGCGAAATCGCGACACCGAGCTGCTGGGTCATCAGTGACCTCCTCCACCACAGGTGGGTGGAGGAGTTCCCCCACGACCCGAAACAGCTCCGATGATCTATTTGCTGCAGACGCTATCCGGGTGGTCGTGAATGATTTCCTGGCCACCCGTATAGCCACGGAGTATGCCTTAAGAGAGGCTTTAGCCCGTGCTCGATCAGACACGTCCCGAGATTTCCTCCATTTGCTGCTCTAGCCCCCTTCTCGTATGCTTCATCACAGCCAGCTCCCCGGTGAACCAGGGAGATGGCCTGTCACGACGCAACGAGATGGGGCGTTCGGGTGCGATCGTATCTATCGCCCTGGACATCTCCCCATTATAGAGAGTTACCAAGGCGTCGATAGAATTGCCAGGCTCCAAGGCAGGAAGAACCCTAAGATTCCTCAGGAATCCATCCGGATCCATCAGTCTCCTAGGGCGGACCATCTTAATTTGTCCTCCACCCCTGCGGAGGTTAAGAGTCGCAGCAAGTCTAAAAGTGATCAGATGATGGTCAGACCATGACACTGGAAGGATGTTTTGATCTTCCACTCTGATCATTTCGTTGTCCGCCACAAAAACAAGGTCGAGAGTATGTCCAGCTTGATGAGTGGGGCCAGATATTATCTGTGACAGTCCTATGGCCGTCATGGTGGCCATAAAGTCCTGAGCTGCGCCAGATAAAGTGGTCTCGGCGTGGATGTTAAAGTCTCCCAGCACCACCAGGCGCTGGGAGACCAAGGCCGAATTGGAGACCACCTCCGCTAGCTCAGACAGGGAAGCTGCTGGGTCGCGGGGTGGGCGGTACACCAGCAGGAACCCCACACTGTCACGGCCCCCCACTTTCAAGTGGACACACTCGAACCCAGAAGCCTGCGGAACAGCGCATCTGATCACGGCGATGGATTGCCGAAAGACTACTGCGACCCCTCCTCCCCGCCCCCTTTGTCTGGCCTGCTGATGCACTCCAAAGCCTGGTGGGCACAGCTGAGAGAGATTTACTCCCCCCAGCTCGTCCAACCAGGTCTCGGTGATGCATGCCAGATCCGCCCTCTCATCCAGGATCAAGTCCTGGATGGCCGCAGTCTTACCACTAACGGATCTGGCATTAATCAGCTGGACCTTAAGACCGAGGGGACTGCCAAGGAGCCTACCACTACCTACCTTCTCCAGGGTCGCAAAGACTCTGTTGCGCTTCTCCCTGGGATATCGGTGACCCGCTATTCTCCTCCCCCACACAACTTATACATACTTACTTTGAATTATTTCCCATAAGGACTTTCTTTTGAGTAGAGCTGAATAGAATTTTGCAAGCAGTTGCAGTAATATTTAGCTCCTTATCATGAATCAGTTTCTTAGTACACATTGTTAAAATATACACTAATAATATAGCATAGAGTCGCATTAAGTTTGTATGGTATTGTATGGTGTTAGTACTACAGTGTCCGCTACTAAATAGTTTATCGTTAGGTACTTTAAATAACTTGTATATTACATTTGAAGCCATTCTTTATTTTGCTCCATAATAGATTTACTATGTTAATAAAAAAGAGTGAAAGAAATACTGGAGAAATTGAAGGAATATAAATACAAGACCTAGACCTCATAAAATACCTTGAAAGAAGCATGATGAATATCTCCTCTGAAAGAAATGAAGCAAAAATATCAAGCCAAGCTCCAAATTTGATTTTTTTTCCAACTGACATTTACAATATACAGAATCTTCACAATTAATACAAAGACTCTTGTATTGTGTGAACATTTTTGCAGGAATTTCTTTGGGATTTCTTGAATCACCAAGAAGGTCCTCGTGTTAGAGATCATCTGAGCCACGGAGAGAACAGTTTAAAGAACTTTCCAAGAGAAATAGCAAATTCTATTCTTGCATTTTCTATCACACTTTTGTGCAGGTTTTCTAATGGCGAAATTGAACCCATCAAGGTAAGATCCAGGTTTCGCAGTACTACATTAAAATATCCTTTTTCAATTCTTGAATCCATATCATTTGGAATTATGAACATCTGTTATTCCACTTCTATCACCTATCTGTACATTTTATGGACACACTTTTACAACACTGCTGCAGATTGCTATAAATACTTTTTCATGTTTAAATGATGTTTTCCACTAGAGCTTATTAGAACTTCCTGCAAAGGCACTTCTGAAGGTTAGGAAGCTCTCATTGACCCTATCACAGAGCTTTCTTGGCAAGATTAACTTTACCTTGCTTCATTTTCAAATACGGCCTTCAGTGCCAGGTATTTCCTCTTGGTCTCCCTCCCAAATCCTAGCCAGGACTGATCCAGCTCAGATGGTCTGATACCTTAAGAGTATTTGGGCATAAATCCCTGATATAGCAGATTCTTATTCCTATTAATATATATGTGCCGATTTTTCTCTCTATTTTTCAGATCATTTATATGAATGATTAAGTTCCATAAAAATATTATGATACAATATAGTTTACACATTTTTCAGTATGTTTTTATGTAGTTCTCATATAACCCAGTACCATTATTTTCAGTGCGATTCAATATATAACTGTACAAAAGAGTGCTTTAAACATTTTATCATTTACTACAACTCTTCTTTAAACCAGAACCACACATTACTGGAACCACTCATGAACTGTGGAAGTCACTATTGTTCCAAGTTTCATCCGGCAACCCAACTCAAAAAACAGGTACATAGCCTTTTTTCATTATTATTCAATAATGAGTTTATCGCAAAATACTCTGAGGTAACTATAATTATGGACTTTAAAATCCTGTTCAGAATTGCCCATAAATGTATGTTCAATGAATGTTCAGTGTCCAATGAATGTCTCAGTATGTTGGGACCAGAAAATGTGTAAAGTGAATTTCACAAAGTTAGAATGGGTTAAAGAGGAAATGTAAAGAGAAGGGAGGAGGGAGCAAGGAAAGAATGAAGGAATGTGAGAGAGATAAGAGTTACTAAAGTGTTGCTAAGAAGTGTGTAGAAGATCAAGAAAAAAGGTCAAGCTGACGTGAAGAGATGGGAGGGGGAGGAAGAATGAGCAGAATGAGTGGAAATTGTTTTGGGAACACAAGGAAATGTGTACAGAAAAGAGGAAAACAAAAGGAAGGGAAATTACAGAGAGAGAAGACTAAAGAAAGTTTTGATTTCTTGGTTTGCGTGCATGTGCATGTTTGTATCAGTTGGGACTATACAACCCATGATTCAGAGACAATCAAACGTGGTACTTTTTCTTGGCATTATCTTGGCTTCTCTTGATTGGACATTGGTTACTTTGTAGAATTAAACTATTGAATTTAAATCTTGATTCCTAGTCTTAATTGGGAAGTAAAAAGGATTAGGGCACTGTGCATCATCATTAACTACTTCCTGTTTCTCTCTGGAGTTTTAACATTTTCATAAAATATTTTTTTAAAAAAAATGAATGTCTGATATTACTTCCAAAGTTTATAAAAATAGACTGCTACAGGGGGGAAAAAATCAAAAGTTGATCTATGTTACTTGTGACTTTAACCTAGGAATGATTGCCAGAAAATACTTGGCAATATAAAATATTGGTTGGGATCTGAAATGGAACACAGCTCACAGATTAGTCCTCCATTCTTCCTTAATGCATTTCCCAGCACTATCTGAAGATAAGGCCACAATTTGGATAAAAGTCAGAATGTCATTGAGTATTGTTTTTCCCTGCACAATCACTTGAAATGTCTTCTAGTAAAAAATTAGTTCCAATTTCTATGTAGGGTTATTTTTCAATTTCTAGATACTAAATTGCATAAGAAGCATAAATACATGGACTGATCTTCCTGCAGTGTCTGAAGAGCAAGTTCAGGAAATTGCAGGGTAACTCTGTTTTTCTTTCTTCCTGTTTGACATTTGAGTAGTGGAAGCAGAATGTGATAAATGTTTTTTTCTTAAGAAACAAGCGTTTCCAGTCTGTAGATGTGTTGGACCGCCTCTCACAACCTCACCTACCAAAATGGTAGGAAGAATTTCTAGAATTTAACAATTAAGCCTATTTAAGTTACCTGTGGGGGACTTGAGATAGATTGTGCATTTGGGCAGTAAGACAGTTTTTACATCAAAGAGATAGCTGTTACTCTTTTTCTATCCTTGGCCACATAGAGCCATATAGGATGGTTTCCTGGTGCATGCGCACATCACAGATTCATGCCACATACTTGTACTTCCTCCCCTGCATCCATATACTCTTTTCTTGCACACACATACATTATGCCCACACACTCCCACTCCTGATCTCAGAGTACAGTGATGAAAATGTAAATTCTGAGACCATAACTTCTTTTCTGGTTTTTCTGGGAGGTAGAATTATTCAGACATTGCTCTCCTTGTTTCCAATACAATCAAGCTATTTGACCAATCGCATCTGCTCTTACAACCCAGCTCGGGCACTCTGGTCCGCAGAGGAGGCCCTGCTCTCAGTCCCACCCCCATCTCAAGCATGGCGGGTGGGAACTAAAGAGAGGGCCTTCTCCATGATTGCCCCTCACCTCTGGAACTCCCTCCCAAAAGAAATAAAGATGCCCCCCTCCCTTCTCTCCTTCAAAAAACAATTGAAGACTTGTTTTTGCTCATTAGCATATGGAGAGGAGAAGGATTAGACAATGAGAGAGCTCTATTGGACCTCTGGTTGAGAGTGATTACTGTATTTGGGCCCTGTCAGTCCATGTTAACCCACTTATCACTAGTGGCCACACAATCAACCCACATAACTTGTTGAAATTTAGTTGGCTTCTGTAATCAATGTGGATGTTTTATGTTCAGGTTGTATATACCATTTTATATTTTTGATTGATTATCTATATATATAAATTTGTTAGGGGCATCCAACGGAGAAACAAAACTCAAAAACCCCCCAACGAAACTTAACCAAAATTCCCATGCCCATAACACAACCCACAAGGTACAAACATATCTACTCAAAATGAAAAACAACACAACAACACACTCACAAAACGGCAAAACAAAACTCAAAAATCCCCCAACAAAACTTAACCAAAATCCCCGTGCCCATAACACAACCCACAAGGTACAAACATATCTACTCAAAATGAAAAACAACACAACAACACACTCACAAAACGGCAAAACAAAACTCAAAAATCCCCCAACGAAACTTAACCAAAATTCCCATGCCCATAACACAACCCACAAGGTACAAACATATCTACTCAAAATGAAAAACAACACAACAACACACTCACAAAACGGCAAAACAACAAAACTCAAAAATCCCCCGACGAAACTTAACCAAAATTCCCATGCCCATAACACAACCCACAAGGTACAAACATCTACTCAAAATGAAAAACAACACAACAACACACTCACAAAACGGCAAAAAAACTCAAAACACCCCAACGAAACTTAACCAAAATTCCCATGCCCATAACACAACCCACAAGGTACAAACATATCTACTCAAAATGAAAAACAACACAACAACACACTCACAAAACGGCAAAACAACAAAACTCAAAAATCCCCCAACGAAACTTAACCAAAATCCCCGTGCCCATAACACAACCCACAAGGTACAAACATATCTACTTGGAGATTACAAGATGGCGCCGGTGTAATCAGACGTGTTCAGCTGAGCTCCGGTATCTTTGTTGTTTTTATGCTTTAAAGTTTTAAAGTTCTTATTTTATCTATTTTACTACAACCTCCCAACTTATCTCTGCCTCTGCCTCTACAATGGGAAATAAAAGGAACAAAAATAAACGAACAAGATCGAGCCCAGACACATTTAAACAGCATAAACCTTCCAAGCAACTAAAGATAGATGACCTTGTGGGAAACGTGAGTACGCCAGAACTGTATTCATTACTTACCGATAACAGTTGCTTACCCTTGGATAAAGAAAATATAAACTCCAGTAACAACTCAATAATATCCCAGGAAGAAGTGTCCTTGGGGCTGTGTGGTGGAGACACTCCTGGAACAAGCTCATTAACTGCTGAGTTAAAACAGACAAACCCCACCAGTGCGTGTTTACTGACTGCCAAAACAGTGGCATATATCTTTGAAAGATTTAAAAATATAACAAAGCAAATTGAGCAGTTAAAGCTTTCTTTTGACGCTTTTGCTCAGAAGAATGAGGCCCCAAAGGGAAGCACAGTTCAATCAGCTCAAATGGACGGTATGGGGCCTAGAAGGGAGGCAAATACAAAGGACGAAAAGCCCTACACAAAAGTAGATAGAGGCTACTCATTTACTTCTACTAAGTGTAATAGAATTCTGCAAGCAAACCAGATAAGGCTGCGAATTGCCCACAACAACATAAACAAGGGCAGATGGAGGTCATACAGAACTATCAGAACATCGCTGGGCCAGTTATTACACATACCCCCCCAAAGTGTGGACCTGACTAAAGTGAAATGGCTACCCCAAGTCTCTGCAGACAAGAACATCGAAATTACCTTTGAGCAATCAATACTACCATCTATGCTGATGAAGATGAAGCTTCTTCTTGCTCAAATTCCAAATAGTCCCAATGAGGGTTTTCCGTGACCTGGTCATTAGCCCACCGATAACTCCCATGCACGGCGATGACATGCCTGCAAAAGTGGGCAAACCCAGCCTGCCAGCCTCCAGGGAGGCTTCTGGAAAAAATAAGCCACAGCCCAGTCCAGCTAAGGCTGATAGCAAACCAACACAGAAGCACCCTATGAGCCTGAGCAATGCAGCCTGCGGCGATCAGAGAGACACCGATCTTGGATTGGGTCATCTCAGGACTGTAGCGACTTCCATAGGGATCCCGGGTGAGCCAAGGGTGGGCTCAATGTCCACTGCCGAGTCCCCACAGGATGAAATGGACTTAGAAGTGGCCCCTATAAATGACCTACTGGAGCTGGAGCCGAACGAGAAGGACGTGACCCGCACCCTGTCTCCAATTCAGGTCCTGGTCCACAGGAAGGATGGCAGCAGACCCCCTAATCAGGATCTATTCCCCAGGGAAGGAAAGAGTGCACCCCCTACACCATTACAGAATAATACTACTGCCAAAGAAATGCAACAACAACATCAACAGCAACATCTGCGGCAAACCAGAGAGGAGAAAAGAGATCCCCTCAATAACTGTGTTTTCAATTGGGATATTGGTGGCATTGTACCAGCCTCAGATACGAATTGACTACCAGAATCGTCAATATGTATACAACTTGGCCAAACAGATCACCTAGAGACAGTAAGACCCATCCAGATTGTAACCTGGAATGTAGCCGGCTGGAAAGAGATCGCTGATTGCGAATTGGTGAGATTCTTATCTGACTTTGAGATAATAGCGTTTCAAGAGACTTGGCTGGGAGGAGGGGACGACTCAATACAACTACCTGGATTTCAGTGTTGGCACACACCTGCTCAGAAAAGAGCAAATAAAGGGCGTGCCTCAGGGGGACTATGTATAGGTATTAAGGAGGAACTTCAATGGCAAGGGGAGAGATTGTGCAAGGGGGATGATATCCACAATATATTGGCCATTAAGTTTAATTATAAAGAAATGGAGCTTATATTGATAAATGTCTATATCCCACCACCCACATCCTCCTATTACAGTCCGGATGCTTGGGTACAGCTAGAGATAATGGTGGAAGAACTGACAGTAGTGTATACCCAAGCAATAATCATTTTACTTGGAGATTTTAATGCTAAATTGGGCCCATCTATACATGAACTAGCCCAATATGGTGGACTTCCACTTGATTTTATTAAAAACCACCCAAAATGGCACTCCAGAGACAAAAAGATCAATAGGGCTGGAATAAGTTTGGCATCATTGATTGCGAAGTGTAATTTACAAATCCTAGGAGGTAAGAACAACAACAACAATCATAATTATGTATACCCTTATACATTCCATTCTAGCCATACTAGTAGTGCCTTAGATTTTATATGTGTGTCAACAGGCAAGGCCAATCTTTTTTCACAGATCAAAGTACTTTTGAGGGAAGAAAGTGACCACCAACCAGTGTGTGTGAAATTTCTGGGCCCCTCAGATTTAAGACCAACCAATAGAAATGATGACTGGAGTATGGCCAACACTGAGGTGATACAAAACAAAAGACTTGCCTGGACTAAAGTAGACACGACAGCAATAGCAAATAGCCTCAAAACAGACCATATTGCAAACTGGGCCTCAATAGTTCAATCGCACTCAGCAGATTGGCAGGCAGTCTCTAATGCATTTACAAACATCTGTGGTAGTCTAAAGGAACATCTTGTCACAAAATCCTCTCCTAAAGGTCCTTACTTGAGCAGAGCGCCCTGGTTCGACAAAGAATGCCAACTTCATAGAACAAAGCTGAGGTCGGCAATGAGACGTGCGCAGGGACAACATCTTGTACATCCCCAAGTCGAAATGTTAACCCTGAGACGAGAATATAAGAAACTTATAAAAACAAAAAAGAAAAATCATACAATATCGATCTGGACAGGGCTTGAGTGCTCAGCTAAGAGTCATAATTCGGCTATCTTTTGGCACACAGTAGCCGGAATTTTGAAGGAAAGGAAATTTACACTTGATATACCTATTCCTGCAGAAAACTGGGAAAATTACTACTCACAGTTGTTTGCTCCCACAGAACTTACAGAGACACAGACACCAGGTAATGATTTATCAATAAAAGCCCTTCCCCTCTGGCCATCAGTAACAGAAGGTGAGATCAGAGGTATTATAAACAACCTGAAGACCAATAAAGCCCCAGGAGAAGATTACTTACCAGCTGAGCTATTTAAAACGAGTATTGGATATAGAAGGCCAAAAAGACATCGCTACCCTCAGTAAAGCTGGCTCACTGAAATGGTTAGGCCGCTTTAAACATACTTTCCAAACAGCTCGATATCTAAAAACAGAAATGCCTAAACACCTTAGGAGGGTATTTACCAGAGCTCGTTTTGAACAGCTGGATACAATGGACAAGCACGGAAGGTTTAATCAAGTCCCATACAACGAACGATTTTGTATTTGTGGAGCACCAGAGGTGGAGGATATCACACATGTATTGTTCAACTGTGAGCTGTATAAGAAAGAGAGAGACCATTGCCTTGGACCATACATTATTCAAAAAACACACTGGGACCCATATATTAAAACCTCATTTTTGTTGGCCGGCCAGAATCCTAAAATAACACAAAACAGCCCTTTTTCTATTCAAAGCAACACAGCTGAGAATTGCACATTTAGAATCAATTGGGATAAACTGTGGAGGTGACGCAGACATTTGACCTGAACGAGATCTTGTTAACAGCTTGTTTATTTTAACTCCTTTTATACCGAGGGTTGTATGTTGTATGTATGACTATGTATGACTATGTGTTAATTGTGTTATGTGTTAAATGTTTTGATACGGCCAATAGGCCAATCAATAAAACGTATCTATCTATCTATCTACTCAAAATGAAAACAACACAACAACACACTCACAAAACGGCAAAACAACAAAACTAAAAAATCCCCCAACGAAACTTAACCAAAATCCCCGTGCCCATAACACAACCCACAAGGTACAAACATATCTACTCAAAATGAAAAACAACACAACAACACACTCAAAACGGCAAAACGACAAAACTCAAAAATCCCCCAACGAAACTTAACCAAAATCCCCGTGCCCATAACACAACCCACAAGGTACAAACATATCTACTCAAAATGAAAAACAACACACAACACACTCACAAAACGGCAAAACAACAAAACTCAAAAAAACCCCAACGAAACTTAACCAAAATTCCCATGCCCATAACACAACCCACAAAGTACAAACATATCTACTCAAAATGAAAAACAACACAACAACACACTCACAAAACGGCAAAACAACAAAACTCAAAAAACACCCAACGAAACTTAACCAAAATTCCCATGCCCATAACACAACCCACAAGGTACAAACATATCTTCTCAAAATGAAAAACAACACAACAACACACTCACAAAACGGCAAAACAACAAAACTCAAATCCCCCCCAACGAAAACAAACATATCTACTCAAAATGAAAAACAACACAACAACACACTCACAAAACGGCAAAACAACTGAGCATGCGCATTGGCGCCCAGCCGCAAGTTCCCTGGCGCGCGCACATGGCCTTCCGGCCAACGTTCCCTCTGCGGAAACCATGCCCACTCCAAGCCCCGCCGCGCCGCTTCCCGCACACACACACCCCCTGCCGCACACACACACACAACCCCACTCTCCATCACTCCCCCCGCCGCCGCGCACACACACGCAACCCCACACTCCACTCCCCCGCTGCCGCACGCACACACGCAACCCCACTCCCCCCGCTGCTGCACACACACACGCAACCAATCGTAATCTTCCTTTTACTTCGCCCCCTCCAAACCCACCACGCCCCTTCCCCCCTGTCAAATCTTAGAAAGAAAAGGGAAGGAAGGAAGGAAAGAGGGAGTGAAGGAAGGGAGAAGATGTAGAGAAAGAGGGAGGGAAGGAAGGAAGGAAAGAGAGAAGGAAGATAAGAGACCAGAAGAGAAAGAAAAAGGGGGAAGGAAGGAAAGAGATAAAGAAGGAAGAGGGAAGGAAAGAGAAGGAAGGGAAGGAAGAGGAAGGGAGGGAGGGAGGGAGAAGAAGGAGAGAAAGAGGGAAGATTGGCCACAGCAACACGTGGCGGGTAAAGGTTGTTATTTCTATTATTATTATTATGCTATTGTTCCTATGAGACCCTTTTAGGGGGAATGGGAGAGGTGTCAGGTCCCAGAGGCAATGCATTGCATTATTGTTATTGTTATGATGGTGGTGAAATAAAAGGAAATAAAAAGTGAAAGAAGGAAGCAAACAGGGAGGGAAGAAAGGCAAAGGAAGAAAGGGGGAGGGGATGAAGGAAAGAGAGAAGGATGAAACCAAGTAGTGAAAGAAAGAAAGAGGTAGAGAAGGAAGAAAGGAGAGAAAGGGGGAGGAAAAGGGGGAAGGAATAGGTAGGGACCTCTCTTTCATAATAGTCCAGATATCTACCTCAACTTTGATAAGATGTTAGGTTTTAAGTTGTTTTCAGATGTGGGGTTATTTTGGATTTTTATATTGGTACTTGTTATTTTAATGAGGCATTTAATGTTTGCCTTTTTGTATGGTAGAATCCACCCTGAGTCCCCCCCAGGGAGATAGGGCAGAATATACACTTATTATTATTATTATTATTATTATTATTATTATTATTATTATTAATTTTATTATCAAGAAGCCCAGCTCTGCTAGAAGGTAGAGTGTATGAGATGTAGCATTGCCACATGCCTTATTTCCCAATAGCTTCAGCTGAGTCTGCCCAGACTAGCCAGAGTCCAATATCGTGGAGAAACACCTTGCATGCAGATGGCTCTCCCTGCCAGTTATATGTGGTGAAAACATGGGGGAACAGGGGCACTGCAGACAATAGCATTTGTTCTGAGGATACAAAGTAGCCTCATTTACCTTCCACTGTGTGTCTCTCTATATCTATGTATGTGTTTAAATTGACTTCCTGTCCTATCCTGTCCTAGAGAGCAAAAAATCACAATGGCAGCAAGTTATTGTAATCTTAAAAGTAAATGATGTCATCACGATTCTTAGAACCTATGGGTTCTAAAGTAATAAAGATCTAATTTGCAAAAACATCAAGTTCAAAATTCTTAAGCCTTCAGGTCTATCTTCTACTTTGTGGAGGAGAAAGTGCAGAGGCAACTTTACAATTCATAGTTCATTGGCAATGTAAACAAAGAACCAACATTACAAAAATAGACATAGCTAGAAGTAGCAAAGAACAGTTACGGTATGTTTTTTAAAACTATTCTTGAAGTTATCTGATGGAATGTATTTTGTCCAGACTGGTGAACTTACTGGCAATAGTTAATTACATATGATGAATCATTTTCAGTAATACTGTAGGAAACCTTGCAGAGCTGGTCAAAGAACCATGTAGTTTTGTAAGAGATACATAATACTGACCACAGCAAAATTTGTGGGAGTGAAAGAAAGCATTTGCATATGTTTTTAAAGGTAAAACACCAAGTTATCAGGTTTTATGATTTTTCCATAAGAAGTTTGGAGAGAACTCTGCTCAGTATGACTCACTCAAAAATTTGTTGTTTGTTGACTAAAATTTAGAAAAATTAAGTACTGCAAAATTACTACTGTGAATTACTTCTGTAAAATTAACATTTGTTTGATGTCAGTGATTTGATGTTTTAAATAATGTATATTTTTAACAAATCTGGAATGAAATTCTGAAAGTAGCTTAACTTCATTTTATTTCATTTTGTTCTGTTCTTTTTTTTAAGGTCGAGAAAAGATGATGTTGATTTTCCTTGTACTTCAGTGATTGCTGATATTTTCTCCCAACTGCAGCCCTACTTACCTCAGAATTTAAGACCTTTTGTTGATCCTGTGAACAGCTTGCTAACAGAAAAGTAAGCTAGTTTTATAACATTCCCCGTAGCCTTCATCATTTTGTCATCATTTGTGATCTGCTGCAGAACGATTTCATGCAGGTATGCCGCATGAATATGTTGTGTATGAAAATGTGAATATAATGGTGATATTCAGATACAGGTTGAGTATCTTTCATCTGGAATTCCAAAATCCAAAAGTATCGACATGTGTGGCTGAAAGAATGGCATGTTTGATTTCTGATGTTTCAATGTACACAAACTTTGTTTTGTGCACAAAATTATTTAAAGTATAGTGTATAAAATTACCATTAGACCATGTGTATAAGGTATATATGACACAAAATAATTTTGTGTTTAGATTCAGCTTCACTGTCTATTATGTCTATGTAATCATTCCAAAATCCCCTCCCCCCAGCTCCTCCCAAAAGCAAAGTACGAAGTATCTCTTGTCCCAAGCATTTCAGATGAGGGATACTCAATCTGCATTATGTTCTGTAGCCTTTTAGAAAGTGATCTGAAACACAATTAACTACCTGTGTGCAATTAACGAACTTACTGCTTTGTCAAACAAGAGTTTTCCCTGACATCTAAGCATAAGTGATGGTTTGGAAGAATAATATACCATATTATGACACCAGAATTCATCTTGAGGTTGCATGATTTAACTTTAACATCATAAAATTGACCCTAACTTCCCTCCAGGTTTGTGTAATCTTGTTTTACACTATAACTACAAAGACAGGAGAAGTTTCTACTTCTGGTGCTAAATAACTACAGCTTAATATTTTGTTCTTACTTGTGATTGTATTTAATCTTAAGAGATTAATGGATCCAAGCCCAATTCATCAGTTATTGATTTGCAGTTGGCATTTTTTCACTAAATAGTTGTGATGCAGGATTTTCTTTGATGCTGCCTTGAAAGTGGCATTTATTTATTGCATTTATATACCACTTTTCTCACCCCTGGGGTGAGAAAAGCAGTTCACATCAAATAAATGGCAAAAATCCAGTGCTTTACATACAATAAAAACAGTATATCACACATCTAAAATAATAACATATAACTATAAATTAAACCATTAAAAACTATAAACCATCAAACACATAGATAAACCATTTTGACATTGTACTGATCCCGAGGTTGTCATCCATCTGCTACATTATTGTTGTCATTCACAGAATGCTTGTTTGCATAACCAAGTTTTGGTTGTTTTGTAAACACCAGGAGGGAGGAGGCTGATCTAATCTCACTGGAGAGGGAGTTCCACAGTCGAGGGACCACCACCGAGAAGGCCCTGTCTCTCATCCCCACCAGTCATGCCTGCGACGGCGGTGAGACTGAGAGCAGGGCCTCCCCAGCTGATCTTAATGCTCTAACTGGCTCATAATGGGAGATGCGTTCGGATGGGTATGGTGGACCGGAACCGTTTAGGGATTTATAAGCTAAAGTCAGCACTTTGAATTGTGCTCAGTAGCAGACCCGCAGCCACTGGAACTGACACAACAGGGGGGTTGTGTGCTCCCTATATGTCACTCCGGTGATCAATCTGGCTGCTGCCTGTTGAACCATTTGAAGCTTCCGAACAGTCTTCAAATGTAACTCCACATAGAGTGTGTTGCAATAGTCTATTCAGAATGTAACAAGCGTGGGCTAGTGTGACCAAGTCTGACTTCTCAAGGTATGGACACAACTAGTGCACAAGTTTTACTTGTGCAAATGTTCCCCTGGCCACTGCCGAAACCTGAAGTTCCAGGCTCAGTAATGAATCCGGGATCACTCCCAAGCTGCAAACCTGTGTCTTAAGGGGAAGTGTAACCCCATCCAACAGTGGCTATAACTCCCTCTTCAGCCTTACCACTGACCTGGACTACCTCCGTCTTGTCTGGATTCAGTTTCAATTTGTTCGCCTTCATCAATACTTTCACAACTGCCAAGCATCGGTTCAGGACTTGAACAGCCTCCTTAGCAGCAGGTGGAAAGGCATAAGAGAGTTAAACGTCATCTGCATACAAATGACATTGCACTCCAAAACTGTGGATGATCTCTCCCAGTGGCTTCATGTAAACATTCCAGCATATTACAAGCAACAATGTTATGCGTGATTAATTATGGGATTGGGAACGAAAATAATAGCATTTCTAAAGGGGTTATATACTTAGTTACTATTTTAAAAAAGGAACATTTCCTAATTTGAAAGTATTGCCTTTAGAGGTATTTTGTGTCATATTTGGTTGCTGTTGCATTTTGACATTTGAATTTTTGAAAGTATCAAAACAGTAATGTGTGTTACTTTTTAAGAGGAAATAACTGTTACTAAGTTATGTTAGAAATAAAAATAAGTAACAAATTGCATTTCAAAAATTACCAAATTTGATTCAGATGTTATAGCAAGATGTGTTTAATCAAAAACAGAATAAAAGCTTCTGAAATCCTCAAGAGTGCACCAAAGAAGGGAGAGAATATGTGAGTGTGGAAAGTGAGACTCACTCTTATAATCCTAACTAGAACTCGTTTCATGAACATGCTACACTACGGTGTGTGTGTGTTTGTGTGTATTATACTGTACCCGTCACGCGTTGCTGTGGCCAACCTTCCCTCTTTCTCTCCTCCTTTCCGTCCTTCCTTCACTCCCTCTTTCCTTTCTTCCTTCCTGTCTTTCTTCTCTTCTTCCTTCTCTATCTCTTTCCTTCCTTCCCCCCTTTTCTTTCTCTTCTGCTGTCTCTCTTCTTCCTTCTCTCTTTCCTTCTTTCCTTCCCTCCCTCTTTCTCTCCATCTTCCCCCTTTCCTTCGCTCCCTCTTTCCTTCCTTCTTTCCATTTTTTCTTTCCTTCTCTCCTCCCTTCCTTCTCTAACTTTCCTTCCATCCCCCTTTTTCTTTCCCCCCCTCTCCTTTCTTCCTTCTCTACCTCTTTCCTTCCTTCCTTCTCTCTTTGCTTCCATGCTTCCTTCTCCCTTTCCGTCTTTCTTTCCCTCCCTCCCTCCCTCCCTCTTTCTTTCTTTCTTTCTTTCTTTCTTTCTTTCTTTCTTTTTTTCTCCCCTTCCCTCCCTCTTTCTTCCCTTTTTTCTGTATTGTCATTTAGCTTTTCGTCATTTAACTTTCGGGGGCTCTTTAAGTCCCTTCTGCCGTGTTTTTAACTGTTTTTATGAGTGAAGGACATACACTGGATTGTTAGGTGTATTGTGTCCAATTTTGGTGTCAATTCCCCCAGTGGTTTTTGAGTTATGTTCATGCCACAAATGAACATTACATTTTTATTTATATAGATACACACACACACACACACATATTGCAACTAAATGGAGAAGTAGTGGAGAGATTGGAAGACAGAATCTCAAAGATTCTTTAAAAAGCAGGTGTAAGACTCTCCCTCTATCCGAACTGCTACTGCCCTGGCCTCAAAGGGAGAAGCAAATACCCTTCCATACAACCATTCCTTTTTCCTTCTTTGTTACTACTTTAGTTTTTAAGCCTGAGAGCAAATTAGTAATTTGTAAGCCACTCTGAGAGCCTTTAAGTCTGAATAGCAGAGTATACATCTAAGCAAACAAACAGAATAGGAAAAAAAATGTTGTCTTATAACAGGGGTCCTCAAACTATGGCCCAGGGGCTGGATACAGCCCTCCAAGGTCATTTACCCGGCCCTCGCTCAGGGTCAACCTAAGTCAGAAAAGACTTGAAAGCACACAACAAACAACAACAATCCTTTCTCATCAGCCAAAAGCATGCCCACACTTTCCATTGAAATACTAATAAGTTTATATTGGTTAAAATTGTTCTTCATTTTAATCATTGTATTGTTTTAAGTGTTTTTGCATTACAAATAAGATATATGCAGTGTGCATAGGAATTCATTCATGCTTTTTTTCAAATTATAATGTGGCCCTCCAACAGTTTGAGGGACTGTGACCTGGCCCTCTGTTTAAAAAGTTTGAGGACCCCTGTCTTAGAATATGCAAACTGGTAGTGATAGTCTTGTCTAAAACTGTATGTGGCCATGTATTTTTTTGAACCTAACATTGCATATCTCTAGTTACTGACCTGGCCACTAATTCCAAGATGACCAGGTTACTGTGTAATATTTTACTGCTGCTCTAAAATAATAAGATATGTTTGTGCCTTTCAGATTACTGACTGAACTCTGTGGCAAGCATATCCCTGTCCTTTTCTGCCCACGAACGGTTCTGGAAATCATTGTAGTGCTTCGTCAAATAAGTACCCAGTGCCACCAGGTCTCATGTCAAGTCATTTCTACATGTGAAGCGAGACATAAGCAATGGATAAACAAGTCACTGCGATCACGCCAGCGGAACAACTATCTGTGCATGAGAAGAAAGCAAGTTCTATTTTATTTATTTTGAAAAGGAACAAAAACTAACTTCCATGGAAAATATTGTTTAATGGATGGTTTATGAAATACATCTTAAATGTTCTACATAACTATGTTGATTTTATAGATTTGGTCCAGACTAAGTTAGTTCTGTGTAGTTTTCATTTTTATTGAATAGATGTCTTTGATCTAACATAATTCACTATAAGTACCACCACCCCTGCCAAGCTTAATAACGGCAGTGGAAGTGATTAAAACAATTATTATAATTATTACAAATGTTAAGACACATGTAATAAATAATTAAATGGAGCACACAATTGCAGCTCCCTAAACTAGTCAGCTCTTTCTCTTGATAACTATGCTGCCTCTATTCCAGCACTTCACTGTCAGCATCATACTCAACCCCCATCTGTATCTCACAGAGACAAGCCTTTGGTTTTGTTACATTGCTTTCCCCTGCAGTCTCCCTCCACAGTATTCCCTAAGCCATTCTAGGCTTCCTTGAGTTAGGTTTGCTAGCGAGTCCTTTCACAGCATGGACATTGGAGAAACTTGTGTCTAGACTTTAATCAACTGCTGTTTTGTAGAGTTATATGTAGCAGTGCTTGTACTTGTAGAGTAAAATTGGTTACATCAAGAAAGGACAATTCTTCCAGTTGCCACATGGGGGAATAAGTGATAAGCCAGGGTCCACAGGTGCACACTGATGCATTTGGACACATGTCATACTTTTTTCTTCTTCATGTACTAATATGTTCTTTTGCTTGCTCACACACAAACTGTATGCACACCCAAATCTCACCCCCATATCTTGCCATTCAAAAATGAGAAGGTTTGAAGGTCCTTGTCCACAATGCTGATTTCTTCTTTTTCCCTCCTGACTTCTTTGGGAAGACTAACATAATATAAAGCTGTTTTTTCTTCTTCATTAAGACTTTATCACTTTTCTAATCTGACTGTTGTTTTTATTTCTTCCACCAGTATTGGATTTCTGTCTCCTGTGTTACAGCTCATTTTAATCTTGATTACTCTGGAATTAATCAGTATCTATGCGGCTTGTGAAAAAAATGTTTCAGACTATCAACAATACCTAAAGTGAGTACAATCTAGTTTAAAGTAACTTATGTAACTTCTTTTTTTCTCACTGTCATTCAGTTGATTGCCTGAGTGATTTCTTACACATCCTCTTACCAGACACATGATAGTGATGATGGTGATGATGCATGAAGTGAAGAGAGTCTTAGCATAGCACCAGCACCAATCCTGTTCATGCCCCCCCCCCCCCCGAGATAATACTGTCGGGCTGATGTTTCCATCTTTTGCAGCATTCCTACTTATCCCTCCTCCCCCACTTTAGTTGAAGTTTAAAACTTCAAAAATGATCCAGGGCATGTTGTGGAAGTTCATTATAATATTATGTACAATGTTTTTTGGATAGTGGGGGTTTTAAAATAATAGTAATAACAACAACAATGATGCTTTGATGTGAATTGCAGGATAAAACCTTTTCTCTCAGTGATCTAATCCTAATAAAAATTAATCCTATCCAAATTGCTCTCCCCACTTTGCTTGGTGATGATTAGGATCACAATGGGGATGTTTCATACTTATATCCATGCAACTGGTGGCTGTGTTTCTACAGAAATAAAACCACAAAAGTTAAATTTATCCAACATAGCATCTGTGTTCGGCCAACATGGTCTAAGGTTCCATTCCTAATACAATGGCGAGTGAACTAGCATCACGGAACATAATGGGGCTCGCTTGGAGTAAACATGCCTAGTTATAAGTTTTGTTTTTATCAGCTGTACTTCTGGAGGTCTGCAAAACCAGAGAAAAATACCTTTTGGAAAATCAATAGTTTTTGGAAACGTTTATTTACAATCAAAACTTGGTTTAGCAGGCTTTTTTCCCCCCTGTTCTTCATTTTTGCAGGTTTTTGAAGTTGGTTTTGCAGTACAGTGAGAACTTGGTGACCTACACAAGCCCAGAAAAGAATAAATGGAATGAAACTATGACCCTTACAGAAAAAGCACTGCTGAAAATCAGAACTTTCTTAGGAAAGCAGCTAGCACTTGTGCAGTTAGTGGAGTTAGTGGATGTTTGCTGACCAAAACGTAAGAGAGAGAGAGAGAAAAAAACAACAACAACACAACTTACTCTGTATTATCACTATGATGATAACATTTCCCAGGGAATGTGTAGAATGGGTAGCACAGCAATACCAAGAATCAAAGTGAATGTTGTTTTTCATTTGATACTCACTTCATTTCTCAACTTATAAGGGTTTTTATATTTTATTTATTCTTAGATTTATATTTTAAAAAACCTTTGGAAGATGATTTTCTACCAATAGGATAGAGTGGAATACATGGGTCTCTAGCAATAAATTCTGCTCATGACCCAATACTCATAGATTTCTACAGCTGATGTTCACTATCTTTAAATGTATGTATATTTATCTGAGTTCAGTTGAATTTAACTCTTAATTAGCAAAGGATAGAAACATGACTTCATTGTTGTACCAATTTCCAGGATGCTCACTGATCATGTGGTCTGGGAGATTTTAAGAGTTGGTGTTCCAAAAGTAATTTTACAAAGCTTTGCTAGGAAGTGAACTTGGAACTATAGCCTTAGCTGGAGCAGGCAACTACATGGAACTCGCACTCACATTTTGTGGGACTCTTAGGGAGACACACAGATGACCAGAAGTGTCAAAAGGAAGAAGAAAAAAAAGAATTGGCCAGGAGTATATTTTCAGTTTTGAAAAAAAAATGGTTTACCTAATACAGCAGAGTCTGACTTATTCAATCTTCGCTTATCCAACGTTCTGTATTCAGTGCAGTCTGTCTCCTACCCGGATCCACATCTGTTTCATTACATTGCAATGTTCTGGTTCTAAATTTGTAAATACAGTAATTACTACATAGCATTACCGTGTATTAAACTGCTTTTTCTGTCAATTTGTTGTAAACATGATGTTTTGGTGCTTAATTTGTAAAATCATAACATAATTTGATGTTTAAATAGGCTTCTCCTTAACGCCTCCTTATTATCTAACATTTTCACTTAGCCAGCATTCTGCCAGCCCATTTATGTTGGATAAGCAAGACTGCTGTATTACCTAGACATTCCAAGAGACCCATTCACACATTACAGTCATAATGCTATTTTCCACCTTAACTACAATGATTCCAGCCTGTAGAATCTTGGAGTTTGTAGTTTGCAAAGTTCTCTACCTGAAAGTTTTATAAATGTCCACCTCTACACTGCAAATCCCAAGGTGTGTTAGTTCATAAGAAAATGTTCACAATTTAAAGTCATTTATTGAGAATAAGTATAACAAAGTCTCTTATTCCTAGGACCCCATCTACATTGCCATATAACACAGTTTGAAATTGCATTATATGGTCAATGTAAATCCATATAATGCAGTTTAATTCAATTGAACTGAATTATATGAATCTACACAGTTTCAAATTGCATTATATGGATTTACATACAATGGTCTGATGTATAGATGCCCTCCAATGGAAGATAAACTGCAGTTCACAAAAATGAACAGAAGGTTGCAGTGTTCCATAATATTTAACTAATTTTTGTTCATACCATGTTGGCCATGAGCAAATACAACAAAATCACAAAAGAATGATACTTTTCTTGAGCGATGTATTTTGTGCATTTTGGCTGACTTACAAAGACATCACTCTTCTGTGGATCTTGGACTCTTGTTTTATTTAAAAACTTCAGTTTTCTTTCCTAATGGCAATAAAATTCATTCTTCCATCATATGTCCTTTCCTGATGGAGGCTTTGTTTTTTGTTTGATTTTAAAAGAGAGTTCTTTATGCTGAATTTACTTAAAGGCATACAAAATTACCACATTGCTTCATTTGAGAAGCAATGTGGTCTTTCAGAAACAAAACAAATCAGTTCACCTGCTTGATAATGAGATAAAGCAATAATTATTTTCCTTGATGCTAAATAATAAATCAAGGATGACTGCAGTGTTGGATTTTATTTAGGGAGGTCAAAGGCACATTACTTTCTCCTCTGCTACCATCAGAGGCACCTGAGCCAGAAATGAGAGAGAAGGCCTTCTTGGTGGCTTCTTGCAGGCTCTGGAACTCATTCCCAGTCTAGCTCTATCCCTGGTGTCCTCTCCCCAACAAGGAAACACATTTTTATTTGTATAATATATATGCTTTTAAGTTGACTTGCTTGTTTATGTAGGTTTTAGCTAGTTTATGCTGTTTATTTTTAATCATGTATTTTTAAATAATGTAATTAATACTGTAGCATTAATCTTATTTTTGTTTTCACTGTCTTAAGCATTGTTTTTACTGAAAATTATTATGAAAATTTAATAAATAAAGGCCTTGAAGAGCTATGATAGTTTTTCTTAAAAACTGAAGAACAAACACTAAAGACTATGAAGGATGCAGAGTAGAGAGACAAGGGGAAGCAAAGCAAAAGGCCTTTCTATCACTAGTCATTGAACGTTGAATGTTTTGTCAGTTATTCAGTGTGTCTTACTCTCAAGTAAGTGCACAGAAGATTGCTGCTTCACTTCTGATAAAACAATCATATTAGGAGTCTCATACCAGTTCAGTTGTAATGCCTGAAAGTTACTCAAAATCACCACTGGTGTTTTGGTGCAGGATGAGAAAATCTTGAAGATCTTTAGAGTTCCAGATCCCACCACTAGGTTTTTTATTCATTTATTTAATGTTGTTTTATCCCACCTTTCTCCCAAGGTGGCTAACAATAAATATAAAATAATGATAATTAAATACTATGTGAACTCGTGAAATATAAATACAAAAGTTAAAAAACAATGTGTTATTCAACAATATTAAAAATATTAAAATGTATTTTAAAGACCCATCTTAAAATCCCAAATATTCTGTCTTTAGAAGCTCAACTCTCATCAGTTTATAAATGCCTGATGGCAAACAAATGTTTTTATCTGCATATGAAAAGCAAGCAGGGATAGGGCCACGTTGGTCTCTCTGGGGAGGGAATTCCAGAGTCTGGGAGCATTGCCAGTCTCTGTGCAGTTAATATAATGGGAAATGTTTTAACTAATCAGCTTCCAAAACGGCTTCTTTATATCAATGCTAAAACAGACTAAGAGACATGGTATACAAGGCAAAGTGAGTAGAGAAGTAAGAGGGAGTAGGGAAAGCAAGCAAGTGCAGTCACCATTCTTGGAACTGTTGACTATATGATGGTTGAAAGAAGAACAAATGCAACTGGTCTCCTAACAGTGGTGTTGAAATTCTCTTCCTTGGGTTGGCTATTACTGTGTGACAGCATAAGTAAAATCAAAGGCAGCTGATTTTTCAGCAGAAACAGTGGAATATCAGTGTTACTAATGCTACCATTACTTGCATTATTTCTTTTTGTGTAAAATTTTTCATTTTTTTAGAGTGAAATTTTGAAGAACCACCATTAACAACTAATTGAGAAGTTATGTGAGAACATAGTATTTTCCCCTCCAGAGGTCAGTAAAACATTAACTGTCCTCTTCACAGTCTTCCAAATTCACAGTGATTTTTTTTTTAACTTTGTGTATAGGGCATACATCTTGAAATCATACATCCAGTTGTTACATTCTATTCTTCAGAAACTTCTGACAGCTATAGTGCAAGGCCACACATAAGATCAACTGAAATCCAAACAAGCAACACACTGGACATTTAAAGAGAGTGGGGTCTGTGTATTTTAACAAGACTTGTTCTACATGGTAATTGTGTGATGTGTGTGCTCTTGCATGAGAATGAAATGTTTGAAGGCAATTAATGTGGATGATAGAAGGATCCTTCTAAATGAGGCTTTTCTTCTTCACTCAGCCTGCTTCCTTAGATTAATTTTATAAAAAATGCCAAATGAATTATAGAACAAATCCATCTTTAACTCCCTCTAGGGACTTCATCACATGGGGGACTCCCTCCCAGTATTGTTTCACCAGCCTCCGTGGTGAAACGGCAGGGATGAGGGGCAACTTGGTCACCCTGTGCGATGCTTCCCTCATCACATGGAGGAAGCAGGATCCTGTGTTTTGAGGGAAGCTTCCTAGGTTGTGGGCAGGACCTCTGTTGTGTGATGGGCAACGTGCCCATCTGCCACTGGACTGGCAGGAATGTGCCCTTGGAGGCTAAAAAAGTGCCATGTGATGAAGTGGTAAAAGCCAAATAACTTAAGGTTATAGTTTTCACACATCATGAGATGACATGGTCCACTGGAAAAGACTATTTTCATTAGGAAACCGAAAGGCAATGTAGCAGTGGGGAAAAAGAAAGAGCACATTTAGATTGACAGTTAAGGAAACCATAGCTCTAAAGTTAAAAAGCCTGAGCAAGGCAATTGATAATAGAGGTCCTTGAAAGCCTCTTATTCATAGGGTCACCATAAGTTGAAGTCATCAGCAAATCACCACCAAATGATGGCATCTTCTAGTAGTTGCACCCATCCTGTGTTTTGTCACTGTCTCTTCTATCTCTCTTCCTCCAAGTACTAGAAACTCCTAAAACAACTAAAGTATCAGCCACTGGAATAGGCAACAGTTCCTTTGAGATGAAGAATATACAGGAATGGTTGGAGGCTTCCATGTTTTGGGTTTTAGCCCAAAAGCTAAATGAGCATCCAAGCTGCTGTGCCGTTCCTGAAATGGGTTCAGTGTTTTGGATAGCATCTTTAAAATATAATTAAAACTCAGAGCAGATAAATTATCCTATTGATATATGTGAACTATCAGCTAAAACATTAGTATTTCAAAACTCCTTGTTAAGGCAAGATAACCTTAATGAGGACAATGGCCACTGAGGGCTCCCATATCATTGGGGCAATGAAGCCATTCCAGATTTTGGCTAGATTTAAAGGTAGTGCTTGACCCAACTAAGAATAATGTTCAGAACCCCAGAAAACTCCTAGAAAGCCTGGACTGAAACCTAGAGCGGATTCCCTGCACCATGGAAATGTAAACCAGTAACAACAACTGCATCAGGAAGCATTTGGAGGGGTTTGAACATCCTAGGATTGTAAGACAAAGGTGTGAGATTCTGAACATTTGGTCTCTATCAGTAACTTTATCTGTTCCCTCGTCTGCCATCCATCCACTCTCCCATCCTACTGCTTTTGGATGCAGAGTTAAAATATGCCATTCATGTCGTTTAAATATATATGTGCTCCTCAAAGAGATACAAGCAAATAAAAGATAACAATAAATGTCCTTGGAATTGCCAATCCATGGTACCACATGGGGTGTGTTGTGTTACGTTACTATAATGCTGCATTGGGGTGTCACAAAAGGGTGAACAAATGTTAGAGGCTTGACAATTTATTTGTCTTTAAAAAATGAATCCAGTGATAAACTTGTCTCTGGGGAGGTAGCTGAGGGACAATTTCAGAAGTGATAGCCATTAAATTGATGGCATGTCTGGGGTCTCCGGAGTCATATGCCATAAAAATGGATAGGGTAGTTTTCGAGTGATGTATGGTGGTGTGTGTAGGAGAATAAGTAATGCTTACAATTTGCAGATGTGGCTCAGCAGCACCTGCCTTTCAAGATCCAGGATGTAATGAGATTCCTTGCACATGAGTCTCTTATTGCATTTATTTTAATTTTATTAAAATACAATATTTATATCCCACACTATATAGAGATATCCCAAGACAGCATACAAATGCAAGCCTTTCAAAACAACAATTGTGTGTGTGTGTGTGTGTGTGTGTGTGTGTAATGTTTACAAATTAAGCCCAAAGTTCTCCGGTTGTGTAGGTATAGGCTGGGGAGCTAAACTGAGGGAATTGTGTTTATTAAGAAATCTCTCCACAAATGAAATTTTTCACCAGCCCTCAAATTTGTAGCACTGTAGCTGAGCATTTAGAAATACAATCTCTAGGCACCCAAAGAAAAGGGGCAGACAAAGTTACCAAGGGATGTGAACACAGCAAATATGAGAGTTGTAGGTATGGATAATATTTATTTATTTATTATATTTGTATACCTCCCTTCTCAGCCCTCAGGCTACTCTGTATATTCAGTGTATCATTCTCTGCAACACTGGCATGTTGAATAACACTCAAGGAAAAAATTGTTTATTTAAGGAAGCAATATTATCATCCTCTCCTCCAAAGAAATATCCTTATGCTAATAGAAACATAAAATGACCCTGTTGTCCATAACCTCCTGACTATTGCACATGTAGGTTTGGACTGATTAATTCTGGACCCTAATAAGTAGACCAGGAGTTTTTTTGCTCTCACTTATAAAATCCTGGGAATTGGCTGGAAGTACCATGGATTTACCACCCAGTAGATAGTGTGTTAGGAAGCAACCCAGTTACTGGACTGCACTCAAGAGTTTCATCCAAGGAAGGCTGAGAAGGTAGTCAACAGGTGAAATCTAGCTTCATGGCTAAACTCACATCTTTCTCTATTCCAGGTTCATCAGTTTAAATTGATTCTAGGTCATTAAATTGGCTTTTTTAAAAATAAAAAACCACATCTCTGTGTCTAGTCTCATTATTCTAATGTATAAACACATACTACAGTAACAAATTGATCTGATCATTTTCTCAGATGTATACCAAAACAAGGAGCCCCTGATGGTGCAGTGGATTAAACAGCTGAGCTGCTGAACTTACTGATTGAAAGGTTGGCGGTTCGAATCCGGGGAGAGGGGTGAGCTCCCATTGTTAGCCCCAGCCAACCTAGCAGTTCAAAAACATGCAAATGTGAGTAGCTCAATAGATACTGCTCCAGAGGGAAGCTAACTGCTCTCCATGCAGTCACTCCAGCCACATGACCTTGGAGGCATCGATGGACAACTCCTGCTCTTTGACTTAGAAATGGAGATGAGCATCACCCCACAGAGTCAAACGTGACTAGACTTAATGTCAAGGAGAAACTTTACCTTTTACGATACCAAAACAAATCCCTCAAATACAAAAATAGTGACATAAACCTTTACACTACTCAGCAATGATACTGTTAAGTGCATTTCTCAACTCATTTGAAGCATTGATTTGTGAATTGCTGCTGCAGGCAAAATAATGGTGGATGGTGTGTGTCAAATCTGTTTCTCTTGCCCAGAAGCCCACACAGTTTTCATGGTTTCTGGCAGCCAATCAGAGGCAACTGAATTGGTTGGGACCAAGTTAGGCTGAGGAGTAAGTGACTAAAGCTTTCTACCAACACCCATAAACTCATGTATCCATCGCACTGTTAGGCCAACTTATATACAGATCTGAACCAATACAATAGACTAAAAAAAAAGCAGTAACCAGTAATGTTGTAGCCTTCCATTCCAACAAAAAGTGGTTTTCGTTCAATCATGCTAAACATGAAGCTTCACACTTAGCACTTTACCTTTTACGATACCATTTGTCTAATTAATTTGCCTTATCTTATGAAAATATATTCACTTTTTAAAAAGGAAAGTACTGGGTGGGTATTCGTTTCTCAAGCTGAGATTCATATTAATTTTATTTGTCTATAGACAATGTCCATTACAAAACATCATCTTCATGAAATGTATCACTTAATCTTAAACCTAAACCGGAATAGCTCCCCTCTGAGCACAAAACTATGCGCCTTGCCTTGCCTTGACAGGATACCATATATCCCATTCCACCCCTGGAATGTTTAAACAAGGACCAATATTACATTCTGTGATGGCATGAGTACAGTTTTTACAAAGCAGAGCAGGTGTGCCTGCTTGAAAGATAACCTATTCCCCCATCTGCCGATAAGATAAATGACCCAATTCTTGTGACTTAGTTAATGTTTCCCCTTCCAGCCTGCTGTGTACATAAAGGCCTGCTGGACAAGCTGTCTTGAACGGTGTGCCACTGTGTGTATAGTACTGTAATTCTTGACATTATCATCCTCTCACCTGGTGCCCTTAGCTAAACATCCTTTTGATCATTTCCACAGGGTTCATTGGAACTTTAGAGGCTTTGTCTTTTATTTAAAGTAACTCTAATTTTCAAACAAGCACTAAATCATTCATAAGACAAATGGCTGAAAATGTGGCTCTGTCCTACGAGAGTCAGATCTGTCTATATCCGTTTTCCAAGTTATTCTGAGATTTAGGTAAAGGTGTCTGCTTTGACTGCAGAGAGAATCACACCCTTCTCTCAGGGACAAAAATGTTTTTTAACAAAACCAAGTCTGTATACATATCTCTCTATTATAGAGTCTTCCATGTGGATTATTTTGTGCTTGATATAACTGAGACCAATATTGAACAGTGACTTTCTGCCAGCACAAGCAGTACTGCACTAGTCGTGTAAGTGGAGAATCAAATGCAGCTTTGAAGTCTGTTTTGAGCTGAAGGTGATGCAGTGAACAGCATGCCTAAGACTGTATGTATGTATTTGTTAGGAACATTTCTATCCTGTCCTTCTCACATCCGAAGAGGGACTCAAGACGGCTACCAACAGGCACCATTCGATGCCAAACAATAAACAAACATAATATACAATTACCCTACATTAAAACAATTATAAATACATTAAAACAGTTCACCATTTCACGTCTTCCAAATCAATCCATTGCCATCAGCTAAAGACCCATCTCTAGGAACCCTCGCAATAAGTGAAAAACTGTGATGTAGCAACGCTATACTGTATATGTACAGTATAGCTCTGCCCACTCCTCTCTCCCCTCCTCTCTCTTCCTCTCCTCTTTCCCCTTCCCTCCCTCCCTCCTCCTCTTGCTGGAGCCACCCATCTCCCTCCCTGCTTCCCCACTGACATGGGGCTCTCACCCAGTTGCCTGAGGAAGAGCAACCGGGAAAAAGCCCCGGCAGAAGCTGCCTTAGCCCTCTCCAGCCTCGGAGGAAGAAGCCCCAGCAGAAGCTGCCTTGGTGGCCCTCTCTGTGCCCCTCGCTGGTGCCACTTTGGCAAGTGGGGTTTATAGATCTTTGTATACAGTGTTCCCTCAGTACTTGTATTTTAATTTTTTTTAAAAAAAACCGCAAAACAGCGAGTCTGCGGGAGGTGAACCACAGAGCATTAAGGGAACACTGTATTCTGCGAAGGCTTGATCCCATAATCAGGGTTTGAGCTTCTTCTGGAAGGTCATGAGGGAGGGGGCAGATCTGATTTCCATAGCCGATGGGCCACCACCAAGAAATCCGTCTCTTGTTCCCACCAAATTATTCTGTAATGGTGGTAGGACTGAGAGCAGGGTCTCTCCAGACAATCTTAAGGTCCTTGGGGGTTCACAGAGGGAGATACGTTCAGGCAGGTAAGCTGGGCCGGAGGCTGTTAGCATGTGCATGCGCATGTGCATGCGCATGCTAAATTGAGTCTTCATTCCATGTATCTGATGAAGTCAATGAAAGCTTATACTACCAATGTATTTTAGTCTCACAAATACTACATGATCCATTTGCATAGAAAATTCAGCATGATCTGCTAGCTTTGCATTGCACTTTGGCTCAAGATTTTTATAATCATCTAACATTGATAGTTTACCTCTTCTTTAACTAGTTTTTTGCAAGATGACTTTACCACCAATCAGTGACCACTTGTTGGTATTGTGCCTACAGGTTCTTCTTTATCATATCACCTAAAACTCTGGTTCATGATTGAGAACCTCTTGTCTTGGTAACCTCACTACCTTATCTCTAGAAATATCTTTTCCAAATCATTATTCTCACTTTCTGTTCAAAACATTGCTGCAAGAAACATCCAATTCTTCCCACCATTCATGTCACCCATGTCAGTTACCTTCCCTAGCTTCTCATTCCTTTCATCTTCAGAATAAAGGTATTTTTTCCTTGAAAGCTCTCAACAATATCATTGCTCTAAATCTAGTTTGTTTTTTATTTCCTTCTTGTATCTCTGATGCCTACTCCTGAAATGCTACTATCCATAGCTGACTGAAGTTCTTGTTAGGCCACCCATTTCCCTTCATTGTCTCTTTGCTACTGATTGCTACCTAAAACTACCTCTCTCATCTTTTCTTTAAAGTTAATTTCAGCTGTTGCACAGTTTATACCCTTAGACTTCATTTTCCACTGTAAGGTAAAGGTAAAGGTTTCCCTTTGGCATTAAATTTAGTCGTGTCTGACTCTGAGGGGTGGTGCTCATCTCCATTTCCAAGCCAAAGAGCCAACTTTGTCCATCAACGTCTCCAAGGTCATGTGGCCAGCATGGCTGCACAACAGTAGTTGTTACATGTTGTTGCTCTATGTCTTTGGAGTCTCAAATATTACATCTATGATGACTGGA